CATCTCAAAATGGAATGTTACTGTATTGATAATTGAGATAAATAAAAAGTGCTTTGAAACTGTAAAGTGCTATATAAAAAGAGGGAATTACCATATAGGTTTTATCTTGATGTATTAGGCCTTTTTCTGGAATCTGAATGGAGCCTTGAGAGATGCTGTTAGGTAAAGGGATTCCTTGGTAGAATTGCTTACATTTGTGTGAAAAGTTCTGGTTCCTGAGTAATCCCAAAGAAGATGCTATGCAGAATTCACTGTGCCTTGGTTTTAATCCCAATGGGTCTCATTCAGTAGGCGACTACAGATTTTAAGTAGAAAAAGAGCAGGGTCCAGTGACCTTCATGGGAGCCTAGACAGTTCATGAACTTTAATCATTTGAGATTGTGGGGTGTGGTCCAATGCTGTTCACAGAGAGATGGTGTCTTTTTTTGGACAGTGTTGATAATTTAAAATTCTCTGGTCTAAGTTTATTACATGTCTCTGAAGGCTTTCACTGAAGAAATAAAATGCACACTTATGGAATAAACTGGGCTTCTGTTGTGATAAAATAGCTTTAGCTATTTGGCTTGAGGACTCTGCACTATAAAGGGCTGTGCTGAATCTGGGCAGAACAGAACTGGAGTGGAGATAAAGGCCACATCATCATGGATGAATGTCTCTTGGGTCACAGTGGTCCACTGGAATGGTGTCTTCTTCAGTAGTAAGTTGGTAGGAATCACCACGGGCAAAAACCCAAGTACCAGATGTGTAGGCTGATGGACCAGCAGAAGGAAGGTGGTCAGAAGGTCCAGGTGAACACTCAGCAATCAGGAGGCACAGGACTAGAAGGGGGAAGGACAAAACAGGTAAGATAACAAATGCATGGAATTACAAGCAGGATTCTAATACTGTGGTCCGTCTGCCAAAGCACAATTGCCTCATGGATATTAATTCTTGATAAGCCTGGCTTAGAGGCTGACAGATGATAAACAGGAAAGAAAATAAACCAAAAAGATAGCCTAATTAATAACTGCTAATTAAGAACAGAACTGTCTGAAGGATGTACCAAACAGGAACTGCCCTAGGGCTCATATTTTAGGGTGGTAATTTGATCATATTCAGGCAGCTGGGCATTAGTTGGTGAGGAGAAAGTGGCTCCACAGGTGGCACAAAAAGAAGTGAGATTTTAAGTTCATATGCTAACAAGAAAGCAAAAGGGATAGTGCCATTCTTTTTCCATTCCTCAAAATGTCTTATAGGCTTCACCTTTAAAAGTTGTCCTTTTAAATTCAGTATGAATTGTTTTGCTCGATATTTTGTGTATAGTAGGTATTTATAAACACTTGCTAAAATAAAAGCCGTACTTTCACTTTATAAGCTTCTATGTTGAGTAAGAGAGAATAAGGCTTTTCATCCTGAAGTACGTAATAGTCCATTGAATGTATCACTTCTTCGTGTGAGGGCTCCCTAGAGCTCAAGTTTAGAATTAAAAAGTGAAATATGTAAAGAAACATGGCCCAATGCCAGTAATTTTCCTTATAATCAAGAGTAATTTTTAAAGTCATTTCATAGTGACCAAGCATATACTAAGTGCTATGAAAACCTAAGTGCTGATTGAGACAACCCACTCTCTAAACTCCTAACAAATGCTTCAACAGGGGTGGTGGTATATGTGGGCATAAAACAAGGCCTTTGTTTTCAAGGAGTTTGCTATCTATCAAGAAAACAGGTGCACTCAAATAACTATTTTACAAAGAGAATAAATATATGACATTACATACTTAATGAAGACATTTTGGGACTGAGGCTACAGCTCAATTAAAGAGTGCTTGCCTAGCATGCACAAGACGCTGTGTTCAATCCCAGCAGTGGAAAAACCAAACCAAACCAAAACATCTTCCAGCTAAAGTTAAGAGATTTATGAAAAGGAAAGGATCTGAACTGGATACTGAGGAAATGGCAGAGGTGTAACAGATGAAGAACCAGAAAGGGGGTATTTCCAGGGTAGCGAAGAGAGTATGAGAAGTGAAGAAATGGTGGTTAAGGCATTTTGGAAAACGTTAAGTACCATAATTCACTTTCGATGGAGTTTTGTCAGTTTACACTGAGGCTCTGGGCAGAAACTCAGGTCTTCTAATTCCCAGTAACAGTGCTGGTCTTAATACTTGCTCAGTTGTTGCTTCTTTTTTCACAGCAAGATCAATAGTTCCAAAATTTAATTAAAAAAAAAATCGACCTTCAGAGTTCCTGCCACATCCCGACAAGCTCTAGGTTGCAGGTCCAATTCTTGGAAATCTGGAGTCCATGGCTGTGGCTACACCAAAAATGTATCTGCTTCAATGACTGCACAACATTGTAGCAAAACCTTCTCAACCTCCAATCCGACATCTCATGTTTTGTCTCGAATTTCAAGCTTTGAGTTCCAGATGTTTTTTTTCTTTCTCTGGTGGAAAGCCTCTTATCACCACAGTCTTAAAAGTCTTTTGAGGTACATCCAGATTTAATTACAAAAGAGCTAAAGAACACATTTTTTTCCAAAACAGTCATTTCTCTGGAAATCATTTGTTTCTGCCCTTTAGGTAAAGGGAATAGTCAATTTTTTCCCAGACATTTGAATGAAATAGCAGAACTGGTTAACATCTACTCAGCCAAACCACACTTAACTGTGTTTGTATTCACTTGCTTAGAGTTGTACCACTTGGTAAGCACCACTCTACAAAATGAAAATGTTTGAAATCCAAGTGTTCAAACATTTTTATAGTGTTTGCTGGACAATGGTCTGAAATTTGATAAAAGCAGCTGACAATAAAGAAACAAAAAAGGACATTTTGGCCTTCTCAGTATCACAGTTGCAAGCAATTAGAATGCAAGGCAAGCCAGGAAAAAGTTAAGGTTGGACTCATTCCAAACCTACTGATTTTGACGTTCAGCAGGCATTCTAACAAAATTTTTGAGAGAATGATAACTTTGAATTAATAAAGAAAAACTTCTGAAAGATCTTTAGGAATTCTTAGGAATTCCATGCGTGGTTCAGTTTGCTCTGGTGAGCCCACCTGTTTAAAATCCACATGCACCATTAATTAGCTAGGCCTGGTGCCATCATTTAAAGATAAGCCTGTTCACCACCAACCACACAAAGTAGGGATAGAAAATAGGATCAAGTAACTGATGGCAACCATGGTCATGGAAAATGATAAAAGTCAAAAAGGTAGTCAGGCACCAATATAAGCAGCAGAAAACAAAGAATTGCTGGACCAAACACTGAATTCACTTCTTGGTATCACTGACTACCATCCACTCCTAATTGTAGCTGCTTTATATTGGATGCCATTGTACCACATGCATCAGCCACCCTTCAGGCACCCCATGGTGAAAGGATGCAGAAGAGAGGCCAAGCAGGGGAGTACTATTACCCCGAATATCCATTATGCATAGAAACGCTCACATATCCCAGGGACTCAAACGGGGGCTTCAAATTGGTTATGAAGGGTCCCAAATGACATCTAGGCCTCAGTTTCCTCCCTATGGTATAAAAAAAATTGTCATCAACTCTTCTGGGTCACAGTTCCCTTTGAAAACTTGCTAGTAATGGAGCATCAGTCGCGTAATATGCACATCCCCACAAGTTACATACAATTCAGGGAGTCTGGGGATCTCCAACTCCAACCCAAGGTTCAAAATCCAAGGGAACTGCCAACTAGTAAGTTTTCTAGCAACTCAATAAACATTACAAACAATACTCATCCTTTACGTATACAACACTTTGTAGTTTACAAAGCGCTTTCAATCTCAAGCACAGATAAGCAGAGGAGGAAACTGAGGCGCAGACAAATTACAGAGTGACTTGCCTAAGGTCATTCGGCCAGCTGGTGGCTAGGCCCGGAAGCAAACCCAGCTCTTCCGACTCCGGGAGCTCAGATCTCTACCCCGGAGCTGCCGCCAGTACTCCTGCCCCTCTCTAAGGCGGCATAAGGAGGAAAAGGCAAAGCAGAAAGCCCACCACCAACCATCCTCCAGCCTCTTCCTGTCCCCCCAATTGGGTCCTTGCAGGTCCCGAAGGGTGGCGCCAGGCCTCCAGGCCGGCCCCAGCCACCCCCGCCTCCCCGGCCGCGCTGAGTCCCGCCGCTGCCGCCGCCTCCCCGGGAGCGGGGCGGAGCAGCTGCCCGCCGCCGCCGCCGACCACCCGGACAACTCCTCGTCGAATCGCAAACGCATAGGCCGCCGCCCGAGTTCTGCGTACAAGAAGAAAGACACGGCGCGAGCGCCAACGGCCACCGGGCGCGCGCCGCGGCGGCCGGGCCTGAGCCCCAAGAGCTGGATGCCAGAGCAGGAGAAAGAGCCGCCAACCGATCGCTCGATCGACCGCGCGCCCGCTCCTTCGCCCTACCAGACCGGGAAGGGGGGGAGGGCGCGCCAGGGCTTCTTCGAGTTAGGGGCCTGACTCCCCAGCGACGAGACAAGATGGCTCCACCAGTCCGCGCAGCAGCTACTGTCCCGGCTGCGTCGCTCGGCCCGCCCCCGGTACTGTTTCTTTAAATGGCGGAGAGGGTCAGGAAGGCCGGAAGAGAGGTGCGCGCTCTCACGTGATAGAGGCGGGACCGGCCAACTAAGATCCGGTCACATGGGTACACGCAGCCCTCCAGTCGGAAGGCGGAGTTTCAGGGCAGGGGCGGGAGAACCTGAGGCTTTGTGATTGGCTGAATGCGCCTAGGAGGCCTCCGGGGCTTGGGGCGTCGGGTAGTGCGCGAGGTGGCCAGGGCTGTGTGCACCAGCGGAGACAAAGCAGAGGCAGTGGTTTTGTAGCAGCGGTGGCCGGGAAGTCTAAACACCGAATTTCGTGGCACGGAGTCCTGTCATCTTATTCAGCGCTTATTCAGCGCGGCGCGTGGGCAGCTGCGGCAGAGGCGGCGCGGCGGCGCAGGCGGCGGCGGCGGCGGCGGCGGCGGCAGCAGCAGCGGCAGCAGCGGCAGCAGCGGCAGCCTCAGTTTCAGCAGGCGCAGCACATGGTTCCAAGAGCGCGCTGCGGTTGTCGGGTTCCAATTCCGCGGGGAGGGACAAAGGCAGCTGCGAGCTCCTGGCTACGCCCGATTGAGTGGTTCACTCGTCTCTGTCCTCGATCTGAGGGCTTTGAAAGCTGAGACTAACTCTGCCTGAGGAGAGGCCACGGGACCGAGGCCCAAGAAGGGCCTAGGACTAAGGTGGCTGAGGAGAGTGGGGGAGGGGCGCGGCCCGGCCCAGTTGAGGTGATTGGCAGGTCAGTTGTGACGCGAAGTAGTGGACCATCTTGAGATAATTTGAGTCACCACTCTATGAAGATTGGGCGGACCGCAAGCCAGGTTTTTTCCGAGTTAAAAAAATTCTGTCTCTTCCGGTTGGGAAGTGGTGAACCGGAACTGGCTCCATATGCGTTGCAACGACTCCGTGGTTTCCATCTAGGACGTGTTTCAGGATCCTGCCATCACTGGTGGCGAAGACGTGAGTGCGTATTCAGTTTTGTGACAGAAGTGTGTAAATTTCCAGCTTGGTAAGTTTTCTGGTCAGGAAATTTAAGGCAACGAAAAAGGACTCGAACTAACAATAAGATGAAGAAATAACCGTCAGTGATCTCAGTAACCGTCGACTCCAGGACCATCCACTTCGACTCTGTCTGAATTGAAGTACCGAAACTTAACACTAAAAGATTTTTGGCGCTGCAGGTTTATGACAAAGTTCTTTCCAAAATATTACGTCCTAGAAGATTTAAAAATACTTAAAGAAGAAATAAGTTGCAGTTTTGAATATCTGAATATATTTTGGATAGATACTTGCTAACTTGCTTCAGGAATTCTTAAGGAACAAAGAGACAACCTTTACAGGACAGAGACCTGAAAAGTCTTTTCCATTGGTTAAAAGACTAGAGCTCTCACTGCAGTCATGGCTTTCACGTATTACAGCAGTCTGAATCGAGCTCAGCTAACCTTTGAATATCTGCACACAAATTCGTAAGTATCTTACAGGTGCTAATGAAGTCACCGATAACCCTTGATAGTAATATGGCAGTCCTTTCCCAAGAAAATTTTACTTTTTCACTCTTTGAGAATCACTGGATGTCATGAGCTCGCTATTGAAGAAATGAGATAAGTGAAATATTTGTTGCTAATCCAGAAGATTTTTATTTTCATTATTGGATCAAAACTTTTCTAGATGCAACTTTAGTTACTGAGTCAGCGTATTGAATTATTTGAAGTATCTAATAGGAATCCAGGAAGTTCTCTTCGAATGGCCAAAAATTGGATTATTTTAGCATCGATTGTTTCTCTTTAGTAAAAACAGCCTGAACAGTTGGGTTTATATCAACTGTTTCTAACAAGAAAAAGAGAAGACAACAACATTTAAATGATAACTTATGAGGAGAAAAAAAATTTTTTTTTCATCGAACAGTTGGCTTTATCTTCTTCGGAAGTTGGTATCTACATCCAGAATAGTTTGTGTGTGCTAAGCAGGAAGTGACAACTTTCCCCAAATTGTGTGCAATTCCAGAAATACAGTGTTATTATTCCAGTTTGGTCTGGAATATTTTAGGGTTAATTCTTAAACCCACTCTGAAATTATCCAGTGGGGTAACAACTAGCTTAGTGTTTTAATACATTCACCTGTTAGTTTTGAGATAAAGGTAAGTATCCTACCATTTTAGGGAATAGGTAACCAACATCTTAAGTGGTCCATAGTTAGCTGAAGAAACAACCACCTTCAGAACTGAGTATAGGCTTTGGTTTTCCAATGATATTTTAGCCTTTTATGGAAAAGACAGGCATGATTTCATAGTGGATGTAATTTTGCTATTCATCCAATCGACTAGTTTGCCAAATTCTGAAACTTTATTTTTAAAGCTTTTTAATGAACAAAATTATTTTAGAGGAGGTACTATACATGTAGGTTGACTAGGTGAATTCTCACACTGATGATCTGTATGGAACATAGATGAGGTCATTGGTCATTGGTAGCACAGCCTTGGGAAAAACCTTCAGTGTCCTTTTTAAATATTTTTATCTTATGTTAAGAACTAGCAGGTGAAGGGCACCTAGATGTTCATGGACAATTGTGTTTGATAAATGGCTGAGTTAAATTTAGGAATGACACTAAATTTGGAATTGCGGATTTTATGATAATCTTGGAAGACTGCAAACACTTCAAAATCTGGCTTGTTCTGGCTTCACCAAGGATTTTTACAGTAATAAAATAGTAATTATTTCATGCCAGTTGCTGTTTTAAACTGTCTAAAGTGATCTTGAAAGCAAATCTGTAGGTTAAGGATTATTATTTTGCATTTGAGGAAACCAAGTCTTGACATGATTGTATGCTAATGATTATACAGCTGCTGAATGGTAGATTAAAGAGCCAAGATCTAAGAAAAATGATTTGGTCACAATGCTTAGTGCTTTTAACTATATGGCAGTGCTCACTCCGGTCAGTTTTACCTTTAAGGTCCTGTTTTCTTATCTATAAAGCAAGGAATTTACTTTCCATTTAAGGAGTCTTCAATTTTAGTTTGTCTCAGTGAATCTCTACTTTGAGGATTATGGGATTGTTTTCTCTCTCCCTCTGTCCCTCTCTCCCCTCATTCTTCTATTTTGTGGTTTATTAACAGTAAGTGATTTCTTTCTTCCCCCTCCTCCTCTCCTATTTTGTAGTTTATTAACAGTAGATGGATAGTGCCAAGTAAAGAAGCAAACCTCAGTTAAGTCATTTGTTTAAGGTGAGGGAGAGTTTTCTGTGAAATCTTGCTTACTCATGTTGAATTGGAACCAGCTGTTCACTTGAGCGTTTAAGGGTCAGCATATTATTTTGGAACCTCTGTTCATTTACTCTTTCTTTCTGATTGGTTTTTTTTAGAACTGGGGATCAAACCTGGGACCTTGCTCTTGCAAGGCAGGTGGTGGAACCACTGAGCTAAATCCCCGGCCCTCTGGTTGTTTTTTTTTGGTACTGGGGATCGAACTTGGGTCCTTGCACTTGCGAGGCAGGCGGCGGAACCACTGAGCTAAATCCCCGGCACCCTGTGGTTTTTTGAGACAGAGTCATAGTGTATAATCCAGGCTGGCCTTGAATTTACTGTGTAGGACAGGCTGACCTTAAACTAATGCCAGTCCTCGTGCCTCATCTTCCTGAGTGCTGGTATTACAGTTATGCACCACTACACCTGCCATTAGAAGCTCTGTAATTTCTTAATCTGAATCACAGCTTTAACCTTTGAAGTTCTGCTTTTGAATGTGTCTACTCCTACCAGAAGAAAGTATAAATGCTAGAACACCAAGATAAGTTTGGGTTTGTGACTAATTTCAAGAGTCTTGATTGGAAGTTCATTTTAGAGGAAACAAATTTTTAAAATTCTCACATGATGTGATTTGTTACTCATAATGATAGAAGAAGAACCTCTTCTGTTTAAGTGGTTCACTAAGTGACCTTCAGAGAGGGGAAGATTGATCTTGTAGTACTTTCTCCTTTGTGTTGTTAAACCCAAGGCCATTGAAGAATATCTGACATCTACATTATTGCCGTATTGTGAATTATGAAAGAGATAGTATTCTTCGTATTGCCTCATTAAATGTAGACTTGCAAACAGCCCGGGCTAGGAAGGTAGAAATCATCGTAGCTTAGTGAAAAGATTGGGCTTTTGAGAGCCTGCCAAACCTAGATTTGACTGCTGTCTGTCTGTCTTTGGGCAAATTAACCTTGTGAGCCTTAGTTTCTTCATCTATAAAATGGAGCTAACCTGATAAGACAATGTTTATGAGGATTATATCAAATAACAGTTCTTAGCTTATACATGGTACACAAGAAACATTGAGTAGATGGTGGTTATTCTTTTTATATTAGTTTATACAAACAAAAAGTGTAGTGGCAACTTGCTCTTTGATCTTAGTAGGCAGATACATTCCTGGTAAGTTTTGGAGCTTGTGTTGGAAGCAGTAAATGACTTGAGTTTTTTTTCCTTCTATATTAAGATTTGTGGTAGTGATGATACTTATTTGGTAATGTCAGCATTAAGGCTGACAGTGGGCCTGAGAGCATCTAACTTATTTTAATACTGAAAGTTGCTTTTACAAGATGATGGAAATTAAGGTTTTCACATAAAAGGAGTTTTACTCTGTTACTAGTCTTAGGTGGTTGATTTTGTAACTGATGTTCTTTTGGCATAATCATGTCTTGGTTTTGCTGTACTAAGTGATCTGGTAGAGCAGGATGCTTAAGTATAAGACAGTTCCTTTTTAAAAATATTTATTCCCATTGGTACCTTTTTTTTTTTTTTTTTTTTTTTTACCGGGGATTGAACTCGGAATTAAATATGACAGATCCTTTTTTTTTTTTTTGGTACTTTTAATAATTTGTAATCTTGGTGATGTGATAGTCTTTGTTTTTCCATGTGTGAGGTGAATGAAGAGCCTGTCAACTCAGAGACTTCTTTTTCCTAGCACATATAAATGTGTTGAAATGTAAGATCACATGCTAAATATATTCAAAGCTATTTGAATATAAAATAGCTGCTCGATTTCCCAGCTTTATTTTCTACTAATTAAGACAGTTAACTATTGTCAATGTATACAAGAACTAGCCAAAGATATCACTACATGATGGGTTTGTGAATAATCCATTGATTTAAATTCAGGCTGACTATAAATATGGAGATCACTTTCCTTATATAACAAGCTAATTTACCATGGATTTGTTGCTGGAAATGCTGAGCTGGAAAACAATTTCTACTATGGCACGAATGAAAAGCTATGATCAGTTGAAAACCAAAAATGTATTAAAAATCTGTCTTTTTCCAGCTGATTGATCTTTCTTGTATCACATGGAGAGGATCTTTAGGTCTGCAAAGAAAATAATTTCTTTTGATGTTTATTCGTTATGCCTCAAATGCTGGGTATCGATGAGTGTACCTCTTGAAATACTATTTGGAATAAAAGGGAACTTCCGCAGTTGGTATGTTTTGGGTTATTATTGCTTTGATTTTTTTTTTTTTGGTACTGGGGATCGAACTCAGGTCCTTGCACTTGCAAGGCAGGCAGCAGAACCACTGAGCTAAATCCCCGGCCCTGTTTTGGATTATTATTTTAAGAAATATTTAGAACTGACTTTGGCATCTGGAAGATCCATCATTAATCTGTTGGAGGTTTAAGAAGGTTCTCTGTATTGCCCCTTTTAGTATATGAACTACTATCACAAAAACACCTCTTAGCTACATTTTAAAAATATGTGTTTACCTAAAATATCCATGTGTAGGACAGCATTGATACTGCGTAGAACAATGAACTTTGGACTTTTTTTTTTTAGGTTCTAAATTTTGTATAGAGAACAGTAAAATTTTAGTTAGCTGTGCTTTGTCCTTGCCCTTTTGAGATTGGCTTATTGAATTCTAAATGTTGCATTTTCAAGCTGAGTGTAGTGGTACATACCTGTAATTCCAGCTGGAAGGCTGAGGCAAGAGGATCAAAAATTTAGGCCCAACCTGGGCGATTTAGCGAGGAAAAAGATCTGAGGATGTGCCTCCATGCAAAGGCCTTGGGATCAATACCCAGTATTCCCCACACCCAGCCCAATTTTTTTGTAAAGAAATCAGAAATATGGATTACTGAGATAGAGCTGCTATTTATATTTTTGGTTCCCTTGTCCTGATGGCAGAGGGTATCAGAATTAGTTTTTCTGACAATTCTTTCTCTTCATTCTCACTACGGAAGGCCAGAAACTGCTTTCTTTAATTCCAAAGTTAGTACATCTGATACAAGTGATAGTCTTATTCTTTTTTTTGTTTCGTTCTTTTTTGAGTCAGTGTTTTTACTATGTATGTAGTTCAGGCTGGCCTTGAACTCACAATATGGCCCAGGCTAGCTTTGAACTGCTGATCTTCCTATCTCAGCTGGGATTACAGGCATGTTCCATCATGCCTAGCAAGTGATAGTCTTTATTCTCCTTTTTTTTTTTTGAGACAGGGTCTCACTATGTAGTTCAGTCTGGCCTGTAATTCACTGTGTAACTCAGGCAGGCCTCAAACTCGGGAGTGATCCTCCTGCCTCAGCCTCCTGAGTGCTGGGATTTCGGGCGTGCACCACCGTGCCCAGCGATAGTCTTTATTCTTTTATTTATTTATTTATTTATAGGTACATTTTAGGTATACTATAGTCTTTATTCTTACGATTTGTTCTTTTGTTTTTTCTAGGGAGTATATTTTTGAAATTAATTGATTTACATTAAAATATAGATTGATGTTGAAATGAGAAGTATTGCATAGAATTGATTATTTTATATAGCAGTCCTCAAAATAAGTTTAGAATGTAGAAAAGCAATTTACTTTCAAAATCACTTGTAAGCCGGATAGAAAGATGACTGTTTGGAAGTTTGAGAAATATTAAGATTCACTTTTTTTTGGTACTGGGCCTTGAACTCGGGACCTTGTGCTTGTGAGGCAGGTGGCGGCACCACTGAGCTACATCCTTGGCCCTAGATTCACTTTTAATTTATGTTACCTTAGCAAGTCATCTTAATTTTTTAGCATAGTTGTCCCTCTTTGTTTTTGCAGTACTAGGGAACTAGTACACAGGATCTTGAGCATACCAGACAAGTACTCTTACACTGAGCAACGTTCTCAGCCTTTTTTTTTTTTTTTAAAATCTTGAGATAAGATCTCACTGAGTTGCTCTGGCTGGTCTCTTAGGAAGCCTCCTGCCTCAGTTTCCTGAGGAGTTGGGATTACAGATATGCTCCATCATTGCCTGGTCTTCCTATTTCCTTAGTGGGGTATAAAGAATATTTGGGTTTTTTGTTGTTTCTTGTTTTTTTTTTTTTTTGGTACCAGGGATTGAACCTCTGGTCCTTGTGCCTGCAAGGCAGGCAGGCGGCAGAACCATTGAGCTAAATCCCCAGCCCAAGAATATTTGTTTGATTCATACTTTGTAGAATTTAAAATGACTCTAGATATTTAAATATTTTTTAATATTTAAAGATGACTTTTAGGCAGATTTTCTGTTAAAAATTTGGTTCTTCCATGTAAAATTAAGAATTGGACGTTAGCCAGAAAAATTTGTGCTCTGTATCCTAGGGTGAATTGGTGATAAAATTTCTGTGTCTCATTACAGTATACTTACTAGTAACAGTATACTTACTAGCCTTTGGGTTAGCAACAGATATATTCATTGAACTCTTGAGGAAAAGGTTCTTCCTAAAATTGGGAGCTGGTAGTTTTATAAATTCAAAAATTTGCATTTAAAGAGTTATTTGAGAAAAAACTATTCCTGGACAGTTATAAGAATTTTATAAACAAATGTCTTAAGAGTTTAAAATAAGTGACCAGATCTTATATGCTAGTTCTTTAATATATATCTTTGATACATTTTATTCTAAAGTTTTAGAAACTTTTACTTTGGCTATTGGCTGAAACTGTATGCAAAAAAGCTAGCAGGAGTAATTTTGGTATTTATGAAAAATTAATGATGGTAAGATGTTGTATCGGTTAGTGATTTTATATTTTTTCTAAAAGTCAACCTGGTTTTCTAGATGCTTCTATGTGGACATACCCTATGTTTGTATGACTTTATAGGATTAAAGAATGTAAATTGAGCATGCTCAGTGGATAATGTTAGCATTTTTCTGTACCAGTACCTGTGTATGATCTACCAGTGGGGGAAAAAAGGGAAACGATGCTTTTGTGTAGTTTGTAAGGAAAAATACTTGTTTTGAAGAAGGAAGGAATAACAGTAATCTTGATTTTGAAATTTTGGCTAAAAACAGAACTTAGCACATATTCAACAAAGGAATCCAAGACCCTTTGGCCTTCTAAAGGGATAAGAGCTTAGTATGATCTCCTAGGAACCCTAGTAAAGTTAACCCTTTCAAGAAGAGCCAGTGGTTGTTATCTTCTCTGAGTGCTGAAAATTTGGGTTACACAGCTACAGTACCCTATTATTCAGAACTCAATAAAGATAGTAAAAGCTGAATGTGGTGGTATGTGAAAATGCCTATAATCCCAGCACTTAGGAGGCTGAGGCAGGAAGAGTGTGAGTTCAAGGCCAGCCTGGGCTACATAGTGAGTTTGAGGTCAGCCAAAGCTATATTATGATACCCTCTCTGAAAAAAAAAAATTATGTGAAATATGTGGAAACGGACAGCTAATTAAGACTGAAAAATAAAATACAGGCCTTTTTTTTTTAAAGGCACAGTATCACTTTTAGGAGTTAGTACCTGTGGGAATCTTTAAACTTTAGGGTAGGTTTCTCAATTCTTAATGAGATTAAACCTTTCTGAGTACATGGCAAGATGATTAACATTTAAGAATAATTCTGGAAAACTAAGCTAAGTTTGGAGAAGTTTAAATTTCAGAAATGGAAACGAATGTAAATGGAGATTTTAGATTTTTATTTATTTTTTGGTACCGGGGATCAAACTCAGGACCTTGTGTTTGCAAAGCAGGCAGTGGAACCACTGAACTAAATCCTTGGCCCCTAGATTTCTTTTTTTAAAAACAAGACATTTTGCCAGGGATTTAGCTCAGTGGTTCCAGCGTGCAAGTGCAAGGTCCAGAGTTCTATCCCTGGTACCAAAAAAAAGAAATTTTACAACCTTGACTTACTAGGAACCACAGTTCAGCTCATCTGCTAACTTCGTATTTATCATTTCAGAACCACTCATGAATTTTTATTTGGAGCTCTTGCTGAATTGGTTGATAATGCAAGGTATGTAGTCTTCCAGCACATAATCTGCTTGAAGTGTAAGCTTTTTGGGTCATTGTGACCTTTGCTCTCTGAAGACTTGAAGAAACGTTTCTGTAGTAACTATAACTCCTAAGAGGCCCATACCACAAAGTATTTTTAATAGCATACTGATGTTTCTTGATTAACTTAAAATTCATTACTATGTAGCCTAAAAATAGTGAAATTGCTGTATCTCAAACCACTTTTCCTTGTATATTAAAGTGATTGTGAAAAGCAGGGAATTGAGATAGAAAGTTAGGATCAAATTAATGGGATAGATGACCTGTTATTTTATTTTACCAGGACAGTATACCCCTGATGTCTTTCTAGAATGTATGTTTTATTGTAAGGGGATTTCCATTGATCAAAATCTCTTCCATTGTTAGCATCTGTGCTTAGAAGGAGTCGCTCTTCAGCATTGTCTTACACTGAATTAAATAGAAGTCTGGGTTCATTTATAAGACAAAGATTCTAGTTCAAATAAAAATCCCATTTATAGTTACAGTTTGAAAATACTGTCACAGTCTTACTCTCTTTTTTTTTTTGAGACAGGGTCTCACCCTGTAGTTCAGGGTGGCCCGGAACTCATTATGTAGCCCAGGTTGGCCTTGAACTCTCAGCAATCCTCCTGCCTCAGCCTCCTGAGTGCTGGAATTTTAGGCATATACTACCATGCCCACCTGTCCTGTCTTATTCTTGAATGCAAACATAAAATTAATATTATTTTTGATCATTATTGAAGAGGGCAAGAGTTGATAGTAGTACTTCTAAACTGATCCCCATTTAGTGAGCTTCTTTGTATTTTCTAGTGTCTGTATAGTTAACCTGTACCAATGATGGCAAACCTTTCCAAGCTTTTAATAATACAAACAGCTGGCTATGGCATGTGTGCTGTAGGTTTGCCACCCGTTAACCTATCTATCATCTTTTGCTATAAAACATTTATGAAAATGTACTAGATAAAACATTAACCAGTAAACTCCCATTTTGTTTCAGTATTGTTTGACTCATTTTTCCATTCAACTAATAATATTGTAACTTAATGGAATTATGTTTGTATTTGCTGCTTGTTAATTTAGAACAGAGCATTATGTTGCAGCAGGCAGCTTTTTGTTTATCAGACAGTGAACTGGAGATTCCTAGGAGTAGGTTTTCCTATTCCTGCACACATTTTGCCAATCTTTCTCATATTTAAAAATTTTTTTTATATCATTGAGAATAGATAGATGTAGAGCTGAGTGGATTTGGGGTTTTTTAAAGTTTTTTTTTAAAGTTTCAAAAAAGTTTTTATTGAACCCGTGGTCTCAAGCATGCTAAGCACTTGCTCTACAACTGAGCTATATCCTGAGTGAACTTTTTGCAGTTAAAACCTATGAAACTGTGCCTCATTTTCCTTGCCCACAGTCAGGAGAATTAGAATAAACTACTTGCAAGCCTTCATTGATGACTGAATCCAATGGAGTCTAATGGGATGTCCTATGTTCCTTTCAAGGTTAGCGAGGTTAATTTTCTGGGCTCAGGAGTAAGTTTGCTGATTGCAGTGTATATATTGTGAGACCCAGTTTTTTCACAGGTTGTGGCAATTTATAGTTTTCCTCTTTTCTTAAAGTTTAGTGAGAAGAAAAATGGATGAGTTTTTGGAACATCTTACTATGATTGCAAATGAATGAATAATATATTTGAGTCATTTCTTAAGGTATAAAGGGAAATATTCTTACTGATCCTGAGTTTACATGTGTTTTACCATGAAATCAGTATTTTAAAAATGTATTCAGGCCCTGTGTGTCATGTAATTGTCTTAAATAATTGAGAGCTCCTAAACCATTTCACAAGTATGTAAGGAAATCATGTTTGCCAAGTATAAAAGCAAATCTTTAATGCATGCAGTATTTTTTATGGTTTCTTAAAAGACTTAGAATATGATGTATTTTGCTGATTGATACTTCATTTTCATTTAGATCTTTTTTGTTTTTTTAAATTTTACAGAGATGCTGATGCCACTAGAATAGATATTTATGCAGGTAAGTCAGACTTTAAATCTTTCTTTTTTTTTTTTTGGTACCAGGGATTGAACTCAGTACCTTGCGCTTCTAAGGCAGGCGTGGCACCACTGAGCTAAATCCCTGGCCCCTTTAAATCTTTCTTCTAATGCCCAGTTCCTCTAATGCACTTTCTACTACTGTATCTCTTAAGAAGAAATGAGTAGGAAATAACTAGTTCTTGGAGAATGGAGAAGATGGCACAGTTACTTCAGGCTGTAGGTAGAAAAGGGCCAGGCCTGTTCCAGCATGTCATAGAAACCAAGAATACTGATTTTGAAACTTAACACTAGGCATCAAATTTATGTGCATAGACACAAGAACACTTGTAGGGGTGATGGAGTAGAGTAATGGGACATGAAATGACCAAGTACTGGTCATCTTATTGGAAGGACGGATTTTGCTGGAGTTTCTTTCTCACCACTCTTGGTGAGCACCAGTCTCTACTGGGAAGGTGGCTGATGTCAGTTGCAGAAAACAGCTGGTAACTGGGTTGGAATTAGGTTTGTAGAGATATTCTCAGGTAGAGTTGTCAGGTGGGAAGGAAGGCTGCTTGGCCGTGAATTTGAGGCTTTGATATCCTCAACTATTTTAACTGGATAGGCTCTACTGTTTTATACTAAGATCCTGTTTTTCCTAGAGTGGTTGCAATAATTGAAGAATTCTTAGTTGTTGTGATTGGCCTTTTTTTCTTTTTAATAGTTTCCTTTTTGCCAGTTCAACCTTTTTTTGATTATTTGAATACTAAAAATTTTACAGTTTTTTTTTTTTTTTTTTGACAGCTTTTAAATCCAGCTTGGTTAGTGTTACATGTTTTCTCAGCACTCTTTCTTTTCTGAAGTTTCCTGTAAGGTTTGAAGTTATAGTTTGAATAACATTCCCTAGCTTCAGAGAAGTTATATAGGAATATAGAGTTATCAAATAACTCCTCTTCACAGGCACACTTGATAGAGTATGAGACTGAGCACACAGTTAAGTAGTAATTCTCAGAACCTCTTTAATGTAATGTAATTATGAAGAATCTCCAGATATGATGTTCTCATGCCTAATACTACTTTGAAGCAAAGCAAATATTCCAGACACCTACATATCATCTATATTGCTTAAATTCTCAAAAACCTCTGTTGAAAAGACCTGCCAAAGTGGTAGAAATAGGCTTCTTTCATTTTTAGAAGAAGAAACAGGAAAAAGGGATGTAGCAGAATAATGTTAGTATTTGGCTACTAAATCTTTGACCAAATGGAGGGATCTTTCCAAGCCAGATCTGAATGTGCTTTCAGGAGCAGTAACAGTTACCTGTATAAGAAATAATGACTATTTTAATCATTGTGTATCTGATAAAGCAGGAAGGGGTCTCTACTTCAAGAGATGTCAGAGGAACAAATCCTAATAGCTAAGTTAATATTGGAAGAATTTTTTTAAAAAGGTGGTTTCTGCTCCCTCACACCACCTTCAGTGGGGGAATCTTAACAAAGAAACTTTGCTCTTAACACTCATAATGCAGCAGAACAGTTAGTTGTATATCAGTTTTGTTTTTTTGGGTTTTTTTGGTACTAGGTATTGAACTCAGGTCCTTGCTCTTGCAGGGCAGGTGGCGGAACCACTGAGCTAAATCTCCGGCCCAGTTGTATATCAGTTTAAATGAAAAAGACTCATTGTATGTTTATTCTGTTCTTGGTCCAGAGAGGATCAGATGAGGCCTTTGCTCTAGGAACTTCACCTCTAATTGGAGATAATGAGCATACTACAGATGATTAAAGAATGATAACTAGATCTTGAGGGAACAGTCAAGACAGTTAAGGATTAAATGGTGTTATAGAAGCAGTACCATAGTGTTTTGGAAAAGGACTTGCTTTACTTTCAAGTACCTTGGGATTGGGATTCTTGGCTGAGGCATCCTTAACTTCACATTTTTCTACCTCAGTGCCTTATTAATATTTTCAACAGGAGGAATAAAAGCAATGGCGTCACTAATCTTAATACTCTAAAGATCTTCTTAGTACATGTTATCTCATGTTTTGAAATTGGATTGCCATACAACTTGGAAATCTCCCAAACATCAGATTTGGTTTGAAGTGACTCTAAAATCACATTTTAAATGCTGTCTTTAAACCTAAGAAGGGCAAGAAAGGAACTAGCCTTTTAAAGTGCAGAAATGTTCATTTGCCCAAAGTATCTTATTAGTTGGAACCAGAGTGTGATGATATGCCTTTCAGAAGTAGACTATAGGTTTTTATTGACTTTCTCAATGTCTTGGTTTCTTTTCTTGTTGCTGAGACAAAATACCTGACACCCAAAGTTAAAAGGAGGAAAGATTTATATGGTTCACAGTTTGTACAGATTTCAGATCGTAACTGGCTGTCTTCAAGCTTGGCAGAGGAGAAACAGTTCGTGGCAGGCAGAAGGCAGCAAAGCACCAAAGTAGCAAGCAACAAGCTACAACCCTCTTTCTGTCCCTTGTATTTTATTCAGGATACCTACCCAGGAGGGCCTTCTCATCATCCACTCCCAGAACTATGCCAAACCAATCAGTGGGCTAATTTAGTAATCACACATCCTTGATCCCAGCATCTCACACACACTAGATCCAGCCACCTCTGAAAAGCCCCACCAATGATCAAATGAGGGATTAGGGGAACATCTAGATAGAAGCCGTAACACTCAACTTCCTGGGAAAGGTAGTGTCACCTTCTCTAAAGATTCCTTTTGTGATGCCAAGGCGATGGTTGAATAAATGGAAAATTGGTCAGAACAAATGAAACTGACATTAGTAGTGCTCATTAAGAGTGAATGAAACTGAAGTTTAGATTACAGAATGTGGTGAAGAACTTGGGTGCCATTACATAATAGCCTCTGTAATTATATCATTGCTTCTTTTTTATTTAAGCTCCGTTTTACATCCCTTCACTCATTCACCTGTTTTCAACTTAATAGGAATGAATGGTGGGGTGATGTTTGATTTGGAGAAGTCAGACTTGGCCATGTTGGAGGAAGCTTAGAAGTGCAACCTCCCAGAGTGATTTGACAATCTTGTATAGCTGTTAACCAGAGTCCGAGGCACAGCTATGAAGACACTTTGGCTTTGCCTTCCCTATCTGGTTTCCAACTCACTCCTTTCCTTCAGGAATGAATTTCTATGGTGGACTGCCTGGGGAGGTAGTTTTGAGCAGGGATGTCTTCTTTGTTCTCCTGGCTTGCTCTAGAATGGTGCTTCTCAAAGAGAGTCCACCCATCAGCCCTGAGAGAAATGCAAATTCTCAGGTCCTACCTCTGACCTATCCAGAGTGGAGCCCAAAATCTGTGTTTTTACAACTCTTCAGGTGATTCTTAGGTACCCTACATTTTGCTCTTGCTAGTTATTTTTCTAGCCTCCTTCAGCCTAAACTCTCCTGTTCTTCATATCCTACATCATCTGCAGATAGTAGAATCTATTAAGACTAATATCCATGGAGACACCTGCATTGTTAGTTGTTTTTTTCTGCATCATAGTGCCAGGCACACAAGAGGTGCTCACTAGTTATCAAATAAGTGAGTCATTTGCACACATACTGTGACCAAGCAGAGATATTATTGCTGCCTGTATACAAAGTTTAAGAAATTACTCCTGAATTATCTAATTTGTCTTGGCCCTGAGGTAGTATTACATGTGATTGTGGACCTGGACACTACTAGCCATTTACAGGATGTCAGTTACTATGTGGCCAGGAGGATTTCCCTCTAGTGTGAGTGTCTTACCCTTGTAAACTACATTAAAAGGTTTGAAATGAAGTCCTTGAGTCAAAAAAATTCCAGGCCCACTTTTAAGTGATGATTATGTGCTGAAACATTTCAGCCTGTGAATCTTGTCCTAATACAAGGGCCTAGAAAGTAACTTCCTTGATAGTCTTCAAAAAATGCCAGTAATCTTTGGGGACTTATCAGATGTACTTGGCTCAAACCAATTTCTAGATCCCAAGGCAGAACCTCCGCACATTTTATGCCATAGTGTACAGAAAATGACTCTAGACTACAGTTAGAACACTGCTTCCACCATGCTCTATGTGACACAGTTTGAGTTTCCATATTACACTTTGCTTGGAAAGATGGAAACTTTGATGCTTTTTACACTTTTTATATACTTGTTCCTGCCTTCTACATTTGAGTTCCATAGACTCTGATGAGAGGCATTGCCACAGGGAGAGATTTTCTTATCTACCAATTGTACTTCCAGGAAGATCCTCACTCTTGAATTTTCAATAGGTACTTGTGATAAATGTTCAGGTTCCTGAACATAAAGTGATACTTGAAAAATCTCTGTGCTTTATAGCCCTTCTGAAATTGCATTTTAAATTACGTTAAGTAGTCTTTTTAACAGAGGGCAGTCATGACTCACTTGAAGTTTTAGCCTGAGGGGAGGACAAAGAACATTTTAAACAGATTGATCTGCATAGATAGTTGTACAAAGTTGGTGAGCTGCAGCTTGAGGAAGTTTAAAAAATCCTTTGTTAAGGACCAGGCTTCAAAGTAGTTTTAGGCTTGGACTTTATACAGACCTCTTTCCTTCTAGTAGAAGTGCTCCTTTTATCCCTGTGTGCCACAGTGGATCTAAACTAGGAATATTGGTGTTGGTGGTACCTCTACTTCTGTCTCATATCCTTCTCTCACTGATTCTACTTCCCTGATTCCAATGCTAGTTTTTCCATTGCTCACCTAATCTTCATCGAGTTAAAAGCTCCATGGAAACAAGTAAAGCCCTCTTCTGTGAGACTCTCTTCTCCATTATCAATGACATCCTGGACCCATACTGCTTTGAGTTAAAACTTGCTGAAAGAAGTTCTTCAGGGCTGGGGATTTAGTTCAGTGGTTTTGCTGCCTGCTGTGCAAGCACAAGGACCCGAGTTCGATCCCCGGTACCCCCAAAAATAAATAAATAAAATAAAAAAGAAGTTCTTCATCTACCCACCAGAATGGCACCCTGTTGTGTGTCTGTCTTGTTGGCCAGGAAGCTGCTGTGTATGTTATTGCCAAGGGACTGTTCTGCTTGCAGTCAGGCAGATCCAGCCAGGAACTAGGTACCTATCACTGTACTTTGTGTCCTCTTACTCCCTTTCAAGGACCTATAGCTAACAGGGGATATGACTGTTAGTCTAGAACCTGTAGTTGCCCTAGGGGTTGTCATATATAGACATAGTAATCATCTTTTAGATAGCAGCTGCTGCCACTGTATTCCATACCATATCTGACTTGATCACTTTGTCTAAAGGCTGTTTTGGATTTAAAAGAGAAGGTACCCTTTTGAGTTTGAGCTGTGTTGATAAGGTACAGTATGTACTAGTTGGAATACTTTAGTGGTTTGTGATCTGTGGCATAGGGCAGAGTTAATTGACAGTGATCCAGATGCTTGAGGTGTATGTGAAATACATGCATATTCAGTGGTCTTGGGTGTGCTTAGATGCTGGACCAGGTAGTTCCCGCCCTCCTTATAGATTCTGTCAAGCTTTGTCTTGAACTAGAAGGCATTGGAGAACCTTTGATTAAGAATTCACACCCTTAAGGGTCCTCATGCTAGCTAAGATTGTTAGAAGCTTGGTTTGACCTGACCCTTTTGGGTCAAGCTTCACATTGATCCACCTTCTGTTCATATCCATTTTGCTACCCTCTCTTAGATAATAGCCCAATAATGGCAACCGCTTCTTTTACAGAAAGGCGAGAGGACCTTCGAGGAGGGTTTATGCTCTGCTTTTTGGATGATGGAGCAGGAATGGACCCGAGTAAGTGAGGAGATGATTCTGTTTCTTTGGGGGAGGATGTAGCTATTTTTACAAAGTACTACATAAACTTGTTCTTCTGAGGCCTTACTGTTGTGATGGTAAGATCCACTTGGAGAATGAAACGCCTATTGCAACATCTTACTCCATTGTAAATCTGTTGAGTCTTGTCCCGACTTGGGAAATATGGTCTGAATGGCAGTCTTAAGTTAGTCAGGTTACCTATCTTTTGATATTGTATCTATCAGTTTGTACAACATTCTGGAACTGGAACTATTGAGCCCTCCCCTAGCCTGTTTATCATGCACAGGTTAGTCATGGTACCAGCAGGCCAGACAAAGGTTGTCTCATGATTGCAAATTTCCTTAGAGAGAGGTGTTCAGTAGATGCACAGCCATGTTTTAGCAAGGCTAAGATCTTTTTCTTTGAGGAACCTGGGAGAGAAATGCTAACTTTCACTTTCTTCTGTGTTTGCCACTCCAGGTGATGCTGCCAGTGTGATCCAGTTTGGGAAGTCAGCCAAACGAACACCTGAGTCCACCCAGATTGGGCAGTATGGGAATGGGTTAAAATCGTAGGTATACTGGAAGCCTATCACAGGGCTCTTCTGTCCTCTCTCTTGTCCTCCATGACTGTAACTCTGGAATAGTAGGAAAGTCAAAAAGGAGTGGTGATTTATGGGTAGCTTACCAACTATTACCCAGCTGAGTTTGCTCCACAGTATGAACCTCCAAAACAAGTAGGGATGGCAGAGACTGGGTTTCTTTTGGCACTGTATATTAGAACTGCGCTTCATCTTTAGGAAAATTCTTGTATTAGCCTTGCCTGTGGTTGAGGATGTGAGTTGTTCTCCTGTGAGGTTGGGATATGTCTGAAATGGTGAGGGGGTCATCTCATGGTGTAGTGGTGTTCCTGAGCACCTGCTGTATGTCATAGCTTATGCCAGCCACTGGGGATCCATAATGAATAAGAAACACAAGCCCTCCCTCCTGGAAGATGATGCTGTTTCTATTTACATATCCTGTAAGCCATTATGGCAGGGACCCACCTACTGTCTTCACATCCCTTGGGACTTCTCCCTTAGCACTTGGTTCCCGTTTGTTTAATGTTTGGAATGTGTTGTTCTGGTTTTGAGTGAAGCCCCAAGAGAAAGGTTTCTATTTCTGAAATGCTCACTTCCAGCTGTACATACCTTTGGATAGAATAAGATATAGTGGAATTGGAGTTTGTGCAAATGGAATTATGAGTCAGGTTTCCAGTCTTGCTGGGGAAGCATGTTGTTTTGTTTGAGAGAGGATGGTGGTTTGATTTGCTCACAGCCTTGGTTGGCCTTCTTGTGCAGGGTGTATTGGGTGTGGAGAAGAGAATGCTTCCAAGGAAATCAGGGTCCTAGTTCCTAGACTTTGTGATTTCTCTTTCAGGGCAGGAACCAAATGGTAATGATAAACACTATGTGCCAGGCACTGTTAAAAACTCAACATCTTCTTGATAGCCCTTTGATACATAGGTACTATTATTCTCATTTTCAAATTAAGTCTATAGGGATGAAGTGACTTGCCCAGAGGTGTAAAGATGCCTATGCACAGAGCTGAGATATGAACAAGGTCTTTGCAAAATGAGAGCTGCTATCCATTTCATTTCAATCTGACAAACTAAGGTTCAGATCTCACCTCAGCTGCTTCTGTAAGCTTTGGCTTCCTCTTCTGGAAATTGAGACTATAGCCTGGTGTGATGGGGTATGCCTATAATCTCTGCACGCAGAGGTTGAGGCAGGAGGATTGCCACAGGTTTGAGACTGGTCTGGGCTGCATAGTGAGTTCAAGAGCAGCCTGATATATACATGGTGAGACCCTATCACACACAAACAAAGAAAGTTGCAATTATAATACAACAATCATTGCTGTAAGTCTTAGTTTCTGGCTTTTATTTCTTCTTGGATCTTTCTATGGATCAAGAATCCCTGGTCTGATTCAGTGGTCTGGGTAAGTTTTCCACAGATGAAATGAGTCATTTGTGATCCCAATGAAACTTGCATTGAGATTTCTGATAAAGGTAATCTAAGTCCCCCCAAAGTGAAGGAGAAACTGATTTTCCTCTGGATTATAGGTCAGTTTCCATCTGTGTGGTCCATTCAGTTCTGTGGGCTCTTTCACCTGTTTATTTCCTAACCTAGAAGTGGGGTTCTGACCTCTAACATTCTCCCTTAGAAAGGGAGATTCAAGAGGAAATAATGTGACTGTGAAAATGGTTAGAAGACCAGAAAGGACTGTCCAGAGTGTTGTCATTAGAATATTCAGCAGATTTTTATGAAGGTCTCATTTAAGTGGTGCCATCTAGTGTTCAGAGTAGACAGAGCAATCATTTGAAATTAAGGCAGTTGAAAAAGTTCCAGGAGAAAGTGATTTGTAGTGAGAATAGGGCTAAGAAGCGGGAAAGCCGGCAGAAAGGTAATGTTTTGGGTTTTGCTCTTCAGGACCAATGGTCAGGATCAAAGACAGAGGAAAGAAGGACACAGAGTTTTTGGCAAATTAGAGCAAGGACAAACTTTGATACAAGGCAAAATAATGTGCCTCCTTTTGCTACCTGCAAGCTTCAAGAGAAAGGAACACTGAAGTTGAAGAGGAAAGAGCTTGCCAGCACCTTTGGTACTGGAGGAGGAGAAATAGGACTTGGCAGCCTAGGAGTTTTCCTGAGTGTTTGGGGTAAGGAGGCATGGCACTCATTTGTGTGCTTGTCATGCCAGTCTCATTTGTATTTGTACTCAGAATAATGAGGCTTCCCTCCTCGTCATCTCCCTGGGGTATTATGAGGACTAATGAGATAATAGCTGTAAAGCCCCAGAAGCTGTTCAGAAGAAAAGAGCTAAACAGCCTCATTGTTGATTGGGAAGTCCTCCCACTAGTGCTTGGCTCTGCCCTGATTTATGCTGCCTAGAAAGGCCTGTCCCTGCCTGCTCATCAGAAGCTTTACCAAGACCAAACAGGAAGAAAGTAGTTGATTCCATCCAGACTTTTGCCTTAGGGAAGTCAGCCCCAAGGCACAGTTCCCAGAAACCAGCTGCATCTTAAAGCAGGGATCTGCCTGTATTATTATTATTTTTTTGGTACTGGGGATCGAACTCGGGACCTTGCAGTCTCAAGGCAGGCACTGAAACCACTGAGCTAAATTCCCAGCCCTCTGTATTATTATTGTGCTTGAGGTGGCAAAGCAATTCTGAGACCAACATGATTGTAATTATCAGAATTGAGCCAGTTAAGGCTTCCTTGAACACTGCCAGCAAGAATTGTGTTTTGTTGGCCTCTATATTTGGCTGTCTTGGGTTTATACTGCTACTTGGAGATCTTGTGAGCATAGGCACTAGGCTGTTCCCTTGGTTGTCCTGTTGCTGTTTGATAATGGACATGAGGGGTGTTTGTGTCAATGAAGGACAAGATGAGAACTGGATGTGTTTTATATAAAAGATGATGTGTTGAAGGTATTAGCTCATGGAGTGGAACTTGTTCATGGCACAGGCAGAGGGCATAACAGCCTTTATGTGATTGTGATTAACTCAGAAATCAAGGGCAATAAGGTTACTTGTTAGTGTTGTACCAACAAGCTGGCAATTAGACTAATCTGTAGTCTTTGGTGGGCAATGAATGCACCCTAAAAGGATGGTAAGAGGAGAGCCCTGAATAGAGGGTAAATGTGGTAGAGAAGGTTATAGGTAAAGAATAAGGAATTAAGTAAGGAGTATTGGGTAAGTGATGAGGGAACAAGGGCTAAGGAACTCAGCTCAGGGACTAGGATCTAGGAAAGCCTTCAGAGAACCCTTCAGAGGCAGTCTCCATCATATCCAAAGGGTGGGTTACACCTTTTTAAGATGAATTTTGAATCTCTGAAAGAATTAACCTGTTTTCTGCTTCCATTTCAGGGGCTCAATGCGTATTGGGAAGGATTTTATCCTCTTCACTAAGAAGGAAGATACCATGACCTGCCTCTTCCTGTCTCGAACCTTTCATGAGGAAGAAGGCATTGATGAAGTAGGTCCCATCTTGGTGGCCTGAAACACCTGTCTGCATTTCCTCAGGCTGCAAAGGCCCGTTACAGAGCCCACACCCTATATTACAGGTTTAGCTCTTTAAATATACCTGTATTGGTTGAGGATATAAGGGAGATGATACCGTAATGTGAGAGGAAGTGAAATTTCAAAGCACTTCAGAGAACAGCTGTCTTGTTTCTGAGAATGAGACCATCAAATGGCAGGAACCAAGAGTTGGATTTGCAGCTCTTCTAGATCTGCAGTTTGAATGTCTGTGAAGGGTATCACCATGGAGAGCTGTGTTATCAGCAGGAGTATTTTGGGCTTCTCTGACTATGGGTGGAGATTGAAACTGGCAGTAATAATGGGAACAGCCTTTTAAGGAAATGTGTTGCTCTAACTGCATAAATTAGAAACTGTGAATTTAGACACCTTCAGGGCTTGAGCAGGTACTGAAACCAGAGGAGAATATGGAAAACATATACATGAACTTGTTGTTAAATGGCATTTGCCACTTGGTCTCACTTTGGGAGTGCCTGTTACACAGCCCCAGTAGTTATTACTATGCTGAAAAAAGACTTAATCCAGAATATTCTTTTTTGATTTTTGAGGGGGTCTTACTGTGTAGTTCAGGCTGGCCTCGAACTCACAGCAGTCCTCCTGCCTCAGCTTCCCCAGTGCTGGGATTACAGGTGTCTACCACCATGCCCGGCCAGGATATTCTTAATATAAAGTACTTTGGATAGGGTCCAGTGGTATGCAACTGTAATCCCAATGGCTTGGGAGGCTAAGGCAGGAGGATCACAAGTTTGAGGCCATCTTGGGCAACTCAGTGAGACTCTGTCTCGGAAAAGGGCTGTGCTGTAACTTATTTTGAAGACCCTGGGTTCAATTTCTAGTACCACCAACTAAATAAAAACATTTTAGTAATTAATTAGCTTTGTAACCTAAACACATGGCAGCAGATTCTCTTTGTGGCCTGCTGGCTCCAATATCTGCAGAGTTGTTTCTAGTTGGAGTGAATTGGAAGTTCTCTGTTCTGTCCAACCTCGGACTTGACGCTTTTCACCTGTTGTGTGATTAATGGACGCTAGAGCTTGAGAGATTGGATTGAGAGGTTCTCTAGAAGAAATCCATGGCTGTTATATAAGCAGATGGTAGAATTCAGAGTTTCAGTGTAATCCCTCTCTGTTAATTGTAATTGAATTTGTACTGGTCCTGTTGAGATCTGAGCCTTAATCATAGCAAACTAGTTAACATTGGGAACAACAGGCTGTCTTCCTACAGGCTTTACTTAGCAAGGCAGTGGGTTTGCTGTTCTTTTTGGTGCTGCGTGTTAGTTCACTCAGCATACTTGGACTGACAGATGCACTGCAGCTGGTTTTGAAAAAGGAGCCTTCCTGGAGAAGGCAGGACAAAAGGACATAGCCTGGGTTGGGATGTTCAGGTCAGTGGAAACAGCCTGCTCAAGGTGCTGAGGGCGGGTAAGGGTGGTTGAAGGCTGTGGCAAGGGACTTGATGGCCAAACCTGTAGTAGCCTCTAAGTAGTTGGGAGAGGGCCAGATTGGGCTTGACCTCAGGGCTTTGTTGAGTGAGAGGGACTTTATTAAGTAAGCATATGCCAGTAACAGGTTGTCTTTTACAAAGGTCTCTGTGTTGATTAAATTAGATGAGACCAAGCATGGTGACGTATGCCTGTAATCCCAGCACTTGGGATGCTGAGCCAGGAGAATTGCTGTGAGTTTGAGGTCAGCCTGGGTTACATAGAGTTCAAGGCCAGTCCGAACTACATAGTGAGGCCCCATCTCAAAAAAAACAACATGCCCAAAAGCGCAAGGATCCAAGTTCGGTCCCTGGTACCAAAAAAAAAAAAGATGGGGTGGGGAGATGAGTGTTGAAGTGGACCAGCTCAGAGGCTCTTTCCATATGGCAGCCTGTTGGGACTCATACAGGGAGGTAAGAGAAATCAGTGGAATCATCATCTCTTCAGGATGTGGTGATTGATATCATGGAGGAGGAAAAGGGAAAGGAGGGGTCTTGCAGGTTCTTGAATGGCAGTTGGGAATAGTGGGTTTCTTAGAGCTGGGAAAGAATGGAAGAAGGGCAATCTGGGGGAGGGAGACTAAATTTATTCTGGACATGGGAAGTGAAGTTGGAGGGAATTCTGGGGATTTTTTGGGGGGGTACCAGGTGGCAGAACCACTGAACTAAATCCCCAGCCCCAATTCTGGGATTCTTAATAGCAGATGAGCTCAATGAAAGGAGAGAATAGAGAGAGAAGACTTGGGACCTAGGCAAGGGAACATCAGAAGGTCGAGGGGAGGAGAAAATGGCACACAGAAGGGTGACTAGAATGGTAGGAAAACTGGGAGAGTGGTAAAATTGAAGCTGTTCAAAGTGATGGGTGGTCAGGAGAACGAGTACCCATGGATTAAAGTGATGCTATTGTCACCTGGAACTGTTTCGAACAATGAGAAGTACAGAATGAAGGTAGAAGTTTATAGAACACAAATGGAACTCAGTTCCCTTGGTGGAGAAGCTAGTTTGAAATTTTTTCCTTACTTGGTGCTAGAAGGTCACTATTTTGGATTATACTCTAGTGTGAACTCAGCCAAGATTTCAAAATAAGATCATTTTTGGCTGAGGAGGAATGTGTCCAAACCAGCCCTACAGTTGAATGCTTTCACTACAGAGCTCCTTAGAAACCAGCAGTGTCTCAGAACTACTAATTGTTTATCACTCCTGGCACTTGTTAAGATACAGAGACCCTTTGTTTTAAGAATGGGGCATCTGAGGTCAAAGCCCTAAGGTGCCTCAACTGGTTTGCTGTGTAGATAGAATCCTGTCAGCCCTTTGCTGGTCTTTGAAAGGGCTGCTGGGTTGGAGAAAGGGGTAGGGGATGATAAGGCCACTGGGGAAGTGGTATTTTATTTTTTTTTTGGTATAGAGATTGAACTCTCAGGGCGGTGCCACTGAGCTAAATCCCCAGCCCAGAAAGTGGTGTTTGAGGTAGGGTTTTCTTCAGAAATGAATACAGTTTTTAAAAACACTATTAGACATACAGTCAAATTCCATATATGTGGAAGAATGTATTAAAATATATATGGGAGGGAGAAAGGAAAGAAGAGATAAGAAGATAGAAGAAAAAAATGGAGACAAAGCTTTTGTACAGAGGGAGAGGAGAGGGTTTTGGGGGAATGGGATAAAATTTATTTAAAACTTATTTTAAAAAATAAAATATATGTATAGAGGATAACTACAAAGCAAACATCTATGCAGTTGCCATTACGGACCAATGTTGGAAGTCCCTCAAGAGCCATTCATTACCAGTCATATTTATTTATTTATTTATTTTTCCATTAAGTTTATTGGTACATTTTAAGTATACAAAACAGTTATATTCATCATTGGGATCTTGTACCTTTACATGATATATCTTGGTTCTTATGTTTTCCCCATTCCCCTGCCCTCCCTTCACCACCTCCACCCTTCCCTATTTACAAAGACTTTGTTTCCATTTTTTTCCTTTTCTCAAATTTTTTTCCTCTTTCTTTCCTTTCCCTTACCCCTCCCACTTTCCTTACTCCTTTAGACCTTTTCTTCCTATTTCACACCAATCATATTTATTATTGTGCCCCTGAAGGAAACATCTTAAGGTAACTTTTGGGATGACTATTTCCTTTTTCTCTACAGTTTGTTACCTGTGTATACATTCCTAAATAGTAGTTTAGTTTTTCCTATTTATGAGTTTTATATAAATGAGGTAAAACCATAGATACTGTTTTAGATCTCCTTTCATATAACATTGTATTTACGAGACTCATTCACACTGATGCTAGTAATTATGAGTTTGTTCATTTTCATTTCTGCATAGTATTTTGTTGCATAAATATACCACAGTTTTAATTAGCCCCTCTCAAGTATGTTTGGGTTCCTATACATGTTTACTGATACATATGTGCAGAAGTTTCACAAGATAATTGCAAATACATTTTTCCTAGCGGTAAGAATAGCATTTTTACTGAATTAAGAAACTGGCCAGGGATATGTAAATATGGAACTGACCAGGCAGAGACTTTGAGGCATAACCCAGCACATCCTGAGAGGAAATAATGCCTTGAGGATGCTTGAGGATGCAAGGGGCAGAAGCCACAGAACCTGTGGTGTCAGACTGTGGATGTTAGGCCTCAGCTTCAAGCAGAATAGAACAACTGGGGAGGGACAAAATAGCTGTCTATTTTTGAGGGAAGTTGTTCTAGGGCTTCACAGTGTCAGCCTGTGCTTACTTCAAAGGTGATAGTCCCATTGCCTACCTGGAATGCCCAGACCCGGGAACCTGTCACAGACAATGTGGAGAAGTTTGCCATTGAGACAGAACTCATCTATAAGTATTCACCTTTTCGCACTGAGGAGGAAGTGATGAGCCAGTTCATGAAGATTCCTGGGGACAGCGGTAAGTAGGCTCAGGGCCTGCAGTACCTAGAATCTTGGAGCTTCAGGGCCACAGGTGGTGTGGGAATAGGCCAGGTGTGCCTGGCAGAATGAAAGGAAGATTTCTTTTCTCCAGGAACATTGGTGATCATCTTTAATCTCAAGCTTATGGATAATGGAGAGCCTGAACTAGATATAATCTCAAATCCAAGAGATATCCAGATGGCGGAGACTTCCCCAGAGGGCACGTGAGTGTGGCTGGGAAAAGTAGGCAGGCTGTGGAACTGGGGTTCTCTTAGGAGTTGACTTTAGGGAAGGAGGGGCTAGATTGTTCTCTGGATTTTAGTGGCAGCATTAGAGTTGACGGAGCTGAGAGCACCACATTTGCTTGCCCCAGGCAGCAGGGATGAATATTAGGATAACAGTTCCTCAGCTAAACTAAAAGAAAAGATTAATACATTTCTGATGCATGACTATCCTGTTGGGCAGCTTGAACCACTGGTAATTAGCTATTTAGCATCAGACAATGGGATTCAAATCAGAGCCACCAGGCAGCAAGACAGGAATTCTGGCCCATCATGAATGTGTTACTGGTCTTAGCTCCAACTTCTTGATTTGACAGAGGAAACCGAGGCCTAGTGAGGGTAAGGATTATGCAGAGGTCCATGGTAGAGGCAGGTGAAATGCCTATGGTGCAGTTTGCTGGGGGGGTGAGAGGCACAGGATGTGGTGCACATGCTGAGGGAGTACCCTGTCAGGGTGGCCGGAGAAGCTAAGATGTGAGGTAGAAAGGTGGAGGACCTTCAGAGAGGCTGTCATAGCCTTGGCGGTTGTAGACTGTAAGACAGCACCCCTCTATTCTGCCCCCTCCAGGAAGCCTGAACGGCACTCTTTCAGAGCCTATGCTGCTGTGCTCTACATTGATCCCCGGATGAGGATCTTCATCCATGGGCACAAGGTGCAAACCAAGAGGCTGTCCTGCTGCTTGTACAAGCCCAGGTAGGGGTCTGCCTATCCCGGCCTGGGCCAAGGATAGGGCCTGGCTGCATTTCTCTGGGGTTTTGTTGGAATAGTGCAATGTGAGAAGCTCTTACAGTGCTATTTGGGGGCTTTTAAACTGCATGTGCTTTTACCAGAGTTATTTCTGGGTCCAAAGGGAGGGAGAGACCGATGTGACTGATGGCCTACGTGAAGTTAGCTGGCTAACTTGTCTAGCATTGTGCCTTCTTAGATGTGGAGAGTGGCAGAGTGAATTGAGTGTCTTGCTTAAGGGCCTTGGGGGCCTTCAGACAGTAAAGCAAGGGTGCAGACTTATTGAGGTTGTGAGATTAATAACACTCTGGTGAACATCAAAGACAGCAGAAGGCCAGGGATACGTGGAATAATGAGTGTTTACTCTTTTTGCCAAAATGAACTTGGATTTGTTTCATTACAAGGCCAAGGCAGCACAGCTTGGGAGGAGCCAGGAAGGCAGGGTGCTTCCTGAGCTTCTCAGGTTGGCCATCTGCCCCACTGCTTCTTGACCCTCAAATTAGTTTTTCCATTGTTCAGGATGTACAAGTATACATCTAGCCGTTTCAAGACCCGTGCGGAGCAGGAGGTGAAGAAAGCAGAGCATGTAGCACGGATTGGTAATGTCACTCCCTGTGTAGGAGGAGGGCATTGGGTGGGGGACATCTAGGGGACATAGCTTGTAGCCACAACAGGCATCTAGGAGAGAAGGCTCTGTCCACTACCCAGGAACAAGGCTGTTCTCTGAAACTCTGCTTCATTTCCATTCTAATTTTTTCTATATCCAATTCCCTTGGCACTTTTTTTCTCCAGGGTCTGTCATCCTACCTTATCTAAAGCAGTATGAAGTCTTTGGCTTGCCCAGAATGAAGAATCTCTTACTTTCCTCTGCCCCGAATACTTGTGAAATTATTTTTCCTGACTACAGGGCAGATATCTCAAAATCTCTCACCAGGGGTGACCAGGACTTCTCAAGGTTTCTCACCTGCTTTATGGCAAGTGATTGGTTCAAGACTTCTTTAGCCTTCAGCTTATGCTGAGGGCTTAACTCTTGATTGCCTCTGATATTGGAGGTGGCCTGTTTTGATTTCTTTGTGAAGTTTGAAAAGTACATCCTCAGTTATAAAGAGTACTTGCTTTCTTTGGGGTCTCCTTGATATCTTTGAATGCCGGATTTTCTTTCTGTTGTGATTCTGCAGTCCAGGCCTGAAGGATGTTTCTGTGTTGCTTACTAGCCATTGTTCCTGCAGTTGGCTTTTTCCTTGCTGGTGTACACACTTCTTGTGTGGCAGGGAATGTTCTGTGAATCCAGGAAGGATGACAGTTTTAAACCTTTGAATTCTTTATCACGGTTTCTTCTGGGTTTCAGCTGAAGAGAAGGCCCGGGAGGCAGAGAGCAAAGCTCGGACATTAGAAGTACGCTTAGGTGGAGATCTCACACGGGACTCCAGGGTAAGGCCTTAAGACCCATTTGGCTATTTTCCAGTATTTCCTGGATTGAGCCTGTGACCTGTGATTCTGGTCAAATGAAATACAGCTTTTAAGTTTGTCCCTAGTGTGGCCCATTTTCTGTAGAATGAAGGAAATCTCCAAGTATGGTTTTACATCTGTATGAAAGTTAAAATGGGATGTTGTAGATGTAATATAATATCTGCTGTGGCCCTGCTCACCTCCTCCCTTCACCTGATGCTGATGTATGTGTCCAGGTGATGTTGAGACAGGTCCAGAACACTGCCATCACCCTGCGCAGAGAAGCTGATGTCAAGAAGAGGATCAAGGAGGCCAAGCAGCGGTGAGTGCTAGGGCTATTCTTTGATCTTTTAAAATGATGTAGCCTTTGTACTGATTGATAGGTTGCCATTCCATCATCAAGACTTCTTTTAAGATACCAGTGTTGTGATTCCAAATACTTGTCGGATGTCCCTACAGAGGAGGGGTCTTTCTCTGAGTGCTCAACTATTTCCTGAGTCTACAAAAGGCTGGGCAGAGCCAACATTGCAAATACCAAACTGCCTTCACCACTGCTGTCTCACCTTTTCATTTCTTCTTTTCTTTTAATTAAAGGACATACAAAGTACTCATTGCATAAAACTTTAAAAAATAGAAAACATTTAAAAAAAAATTTAAAACTCCAGAATAGTTGTACCACTTGGTGATACTTTACTCTCATTTTTTTATATTGTAATAATATATTTATAATTCATTCTCTCTTCACTGGTTAGAAATATGGGATAGTGCTGTAGATTGAGTTTCATAGAATTTTTCCATTTAGAATGTGCATTTGCCCTGGGTCATTAAATCATCCCCTGGTCCCTTGGTCCAGCCCCAGGTCTGGAGTCTCTTAGGGATCCTTCCTATAGGCTTAGGTTTCAGATTGCTTCAGTCTGATTCCACTGTTCACCCATCTGCTCTTCAGACTCCAAGATTTGTTGACATTAATCACATGATGGTGTCCCCTCTCACATGTTCTTATGAATTTTTAACATTAATTTATGTCACAGTAGTGGAGTTTGGGGATGTTATGAAGATAACTTTGTGCTTATTCCATGTAACTGTCTTTGCAAAGATTCGCAGCAACTTTATGGTAATCTGTGCATACTTAAATCCACCCGTTTGGTTATCAAAAAGCTAAAATTGTATACTGCTGATTAGGGAAGCTTAGCGTCACTGCACAGTACAGGTCAAATCTTAAGAGATCACATGAAGTAGAGATGCAAAACTTTGCTTAACATGTCTCAAGTTCAAGCTTCAGCTTAACACAACTTCATCACATTATTTGTATGCTGAGTAGATCTCCCTGAATTTTTTTGTCTATTTTGTTAGAGCACTCAAAGAACCTAAGGAACTGAATTTTGTTTTTGGGGTCAACATTGAACACCGGGACCTAGATGGCATGTTTATTTACAACTGTAGCCGCTTGATCAAGATGTATGAGAAAGTGGGCCCACAGCTGGAAGGGGGCATGTGAGTACTACCCAAGGGGAGCTTTCCAGCCCAGAAAAGGTAGAGGGTAAGTGGTAGGAGGGGCTTTGGCCAGTAAGGTGACAGAGCTGGGTTCTCCTTCTCCTTGCAGGGCATGTGGTGGGGTTGTTGGGGTTGTTGATGTGCCCTACCTGGTCCTGGAACCTACACACAACAAGCAGGACTTTGCTGATGCCAAGGAGTACCGGCACCTGCTAAAGGCAATGGGGGAGCACCTGGCACAGTACTGGAAGGACATTGCCATAGGTAATGGGGTCAGGCTGCTGGGGTTTTGCTCTTTCTCTTTATGTCTAGTTTTTGAGATGTTCTAATGGCCTGAGAGGATGAATCTAGAATGAGGATGAGGCTGGCTCCTGGTGTGATATATGACTATTTTCCAGCCCAACGTGGAATCATCAAGTTTTGGGATGAGTTTGGCTACCTTTCTGCCAACTGGAACCAGCCCCCATCCAGTGAGCTACGTTACAAACGCAGGAGAGCAATGGAAATCCCAACCACCATCCAGTGTGGTAAGTCGAGTGTTTGGAACCTCCCTCCTGACTTGATTGATACTCATAGTCTTAGGGTTCCACCAGGGATATGAGTCTGTTTGGTGGTGGCCCCGTGATCTCAGTCTTAAAGCTGTTCCCCCTCTTCTCCTGAATAAGGCAGAAGGTCACCTGACCTCCCAGGCCTCTCACTCCACAGCTGGACTAAGCTCTCTGGGTTTGGTATCAATTGTGTCTAGAATAAGTGGATGACTGAGCCAGGATCCTGTTACAGGAAGATGTGGAGCTAGGGAGTTAAGACTCCATGACATTGAGTTTTCATCCTCGCTGGAATCACTGTCCTTAAGAATTACTGTTGTGTATATATAGGCAGAGTTGGAATATGAGGAAAGATCTTTGTATGGAAAGTCTAGCGTGTCTTTGCTTTGTGTCTGGATTCCAGATATTCCGGGTTAGTGTGGCTGATGTTTGTGCTTTCTTTGTCTCAGATTTGTGTCTGAAGTGGAGGACCCTCCCCTTCCAGTTGAATTCAGTGGAAAAAGATTACCCTGACACCTGGGTTTGCTCCATGAACCCTGATCCTGAGCAGGACCGGTGAGCACTTTCTCTGACAGGGGGATTTACTTTTGGGGTAAATAACTGTGTTTCCTGAGGTCATTGCTGATATCGTATATCTCTGGGTTGATGCATGTATAGTAAGTGTTCAAGAAAGAACAAAAGAACAACAGGTGTATGTCCTGTCGTACATTTCATTTCCATGCATTGGGAGCTCTGAGGTGGTTGCTTCTTTGAGAGAAAAGGGTTGGGTGCAGAGGAAGGTCCCTGCCCTACTAGAACCCTGTTTTGCCACAGCTTCCCCCAGTGCCTTCTCTCTATAGATGTGAGGCTTCTGAACAAAAACAGAAGGTTCCCCTGGGGACATTCAAAAAGGATCCAAAGACACAGGAAGAAAAGCAGAAGCAGCTATCAGAGAAAATTCGCCAGCAGCAGGAGAAGCTGGAGGCCCTTCAGGTGTGTGGGTCATTGGCAGTGGGCAGAGCCTGTGCCAGGGGTCTGCTTGGGATAAGATCTTTTAGTTAGCTTTCCCATCTCCTCAGGTTGTTTCACCTTCTACTTGCCCAGGCATATGCTTGCCAGGGCTTTCCAACCTCAAGCACCAGATTCAAACACTGATTTTCAAGTATGCCTTGTTTATTCTTTAAAAAAAAGAGAGAGAGAGAGAGAAATTAGTTTATATACTCCAAAGTGGTCCAATTTATTTAGACATGTATATAATCCCCAGAAAATAAATACCCTATCTTAGAAGTAACCAATACTGAATTTCCTTCCAATTCTTCATGAATACATATGTATAAAACTCATAAATATGTATTTTAAATAGTAGTATGAAGATCATGTCATATATTTTTTATATACATGTTTATACATCTATTTTTTTCTTGATAATTTTTTAGAATAAGTTTGCAAAACTAATGGCTTTTTTAAATAACTCTTCTCACATCAACCTCCGGAATATGTGTTAATTTCTGTTCTTTACCAGCACATATGAGAATTATTTTTAAATATTTTTGCAAATTTGAGGGAACTCTTCACTGCTTCCTTGAGCTTTGGTCTAACACAAACTTGAATCACCTCCACTGGCAAATTTGATGGGCATTTTATAATTCTAACTTCTTTTGTATTTTTAAGATTGGATAATTTTTTCATATGTCCACTTACATTTCTGGGTTTCTTTTCTTGATTTGTCCATTTTTTTAGGTATGTTATATGATTTCATATTTATTAAAAAATGTTTTGGTTACTTTTCTTGTTGCTGAGACAAAAATACCCAACACTCAAAGTTAAAGGAGGAAAAGTTTATTTGGATTACCGTTCATAGAGGTTTCAGTCCATAATTGGCTGGCTCCAAGGCAGGGTGGCATGGAAGAGGGGCATCACAGAGGATAAAAAGTCCATGGCAAAGCAGGGCAGGCAGAAGGTAGCAAGCAGCAAGTAAGTGACGAGTGATAACCTGATCCCTCTTTCTGTTCCTTATATTTTATCCAAGCTGCCCTCCAAAGACAGGTAGCCTCACACTCTTAATCCTAGCATCCCAGGAATAAATCTCAGCATTACATCCTTGATGCCAGCATCACACACTGTAGATCCAGCCACCTCCAAAAAGCCCTCACCTGTGACCTCATGAGGCTTTGGGGGGACATCTAGATACAAGCCATAGCACAAAAGTATTTTTTAGCCAGGTGTGGTGATACACATCTGTAATCTCAACACTTGGGAGGCTGAGGCAGGAGGATCTCCACGAGTTCAAGGCTGGCCTGAACTGCATAGGAAGACCTTGCCTTTTAAAGTTTTTCTTTTTGACTTCTGTGTCTCTGCAGATGGCGCTCTCACCAACTCAAAATGTCTTAAGTGTGCCCCCTGTCTGCTCAATCCTTCTGTCTTTTCTAATTAGGAAAATGTTTTTTAAGTTTCCTGTATCCATTAGGCCTTTTCCATCTTTTATAGCTCTTTTTATAGAAATGTAGTTGAATGACACTTTCTCCATTCAGGTGTGGAGTTAATTACATAGTATCCTATAATTTGCTGAGTTGTATGTATTTTTGTTTCCCCACTGAGAATGGGAAGCTTGTAGGAATATGATTGTGGCTCAAGTTTAGTTAGCTTTGCTTTGCTTTCTTTGTCCTCACTGTCCCAGACACATAATAAGGATCCAAAAATCATTCACTTGAATATACCAAGGTATGCAAACAACTTCATCATCAGGTTTGCCTTGCAGAAAACCACCCCCATCCGTTCCCAAGCTGACCTGAAGAAATTGCCCTTGGAAGTGACAGCCAGACCTTCCACTGAGGTAAAGCAGGGGTATGGGAGGGACTTGAATGTCTCTGGCTAAAATCAGTATTCTCATTCTCTATGAACGTTTTTTTAGGAACCTGCTCGAAGACCTCAGCGTCCTCGGTCACCACCTTTACCTGCTGTGATCAAGAATGCCCCAAGCAGACCACCTTCCCTGCAAGCTCCCAGACCAGTTATCCAACCTCGAAAGGCTCCTGTCATCAGCAATCCCCCAAAGCCTCCTGCTCTGGCAGCCCAAGTAGAGGCCAGTACTTCCAGGCTGCTCCAGCCACCTGAGGCACCCCGAAAGCCTGTGAACATGCCAGTCAAGACTGCCCCCCGGACCACTTCTCTGGTGCAGCCACTGTCGTCATCTCTACTGCCCAACTCCAAGAGTTCTCGGGAGGTCCCTGCAGCCAAAGTTATTAAGACTCCAGTGGTCAAGAAGCCAGAGCCACCTGTTAAACTCTCCCCAGTAAGCTGCTTTGCCTTCAGTCCCTAGCCATGGGCAGTACTATGGGAGTGGAATTGTGTCATTTCAAAGCTGTACTGGGGGAGCTGTAGGAAGGTCACCAGATCTAAGTCTTTTCTGCTGTACCTGAGGGAGAGCCTAGGTAGCTGAAGGGACTTGGTCAGGGACACAGAGCAAGTCGATTCCTTATCCAGGGAACTCTTCACTGCTTCTTTGAGCTTTGGTCTGACACAAATTTGAATCACCTCCACTGGTGTCTCAACAGTGTGTGGGCATAGGTTGGCAACCTGGTGACAGATGGCCTTGGTAGGTTGTGGCAGTAGTCACTGTGTCAGGGAATTCACAGCTGGCTGGCCAGTGTAAGGCAAGAGTAAACAGAGGCTTTTCCTGTGATATGCTTTGAGCAGAGGTCCTCATGGTGTAGGGCATGTATGCTTGTATATTTAATGAGTATTCTCAAGCAGGAATTGAGAAGAGTACCAATCCCTCTCTGAACAGATCCTTTAGACCATATGAGAATTTCCTGCATTTTGAGGGGTAAACAGGGCTCCTCACATTTCCACCTTCTTACTCTAGGCTACCACTGGTCGTAAGCGGAGTCTTGGGGTCTCTGATGAGGAAGAAGCTGAGGAAGAGGCTGAGAGGAGGAAGGAGAGGTGTAAGCGGGGCAAATTTGCTGTGAAGGAGGAGAAGAAGGAATCCAATGAGGTAGGGCTTGAGATGAGTTTCTCAGATGAGTCTTCTTGAGTCTTCTCATTTCTCTTGAGATGAGTCTTCCCAGGGTCCGCCCCATCCCTCACATTTTGTGCTAACTCCTATTGTTGAACTGAGCCTTCCACAAGCCTAGCTAATCTCTCAAGGACTGTCGGTCACCTAGATGACTAGACCCCCATGTCTCACATTCTGTCCTTGCCTAGTATTCTGTGGGCTGGTGACTTTAAAAAGTGATTTAAATTGCAGCATTAAAAAACATAAAGGTAACAGCTGATAACCCATAGTGTCCAGTAACATAAAAGTCTAACTTTTAGGGGCACAGGGGTGCTCCTGACAGTCTGTTTTCCTTATAGCTCTCAGACAGTGCTGGAGAAGAAGACCCAGGTGACCTCAGAAAGGCTCAGAAAGGTGAGTTTTTGGAGATCCCTGGTAGCCCAGGTTGGAAATAGAAGTGGAGCCTTTGCCAGTAGCAGTTAAATCTGAAGGCTTGCGGAGTTTTCCTGGGCCTGGACTCTGTGCAGCAGCAGACCCAAGTCTAAGAGTAAGGAGAATTCTGAAGATAAAATATCTTCATTCATGCTTGTGTTTTTTATTTTCTGAAGGTGGGGGAGGAGTGTTAGGGATTGAACCCAGGCACTTGCTCTACCACTGAGCCACATCCCTAGCTCCATTTTGTGGTTATTTTTTAACACTTAATTCCTTGGCATTCACCCCTGGTGACTGCCGGCTCATCCTCCTACTTTTTGGCATCCCAGTGACAGATGAAGAAGGAATCTATGCTGGCTGGACTGTGTATCCCTGGAATAGCAGGGGCAAGGACTCCTGTCTTCTAGGCCCTGGGGCATCTTCAAGGGGTTGAGTGGGTGAGTGGCTCAGTGGGTTACTCTCATCTGATTCTTTAATTCTCACTTTCCAAATTTTCAGATAAAGGGCTACATGTGGAAGTACGTGTGAACAGGGAGTGGTATACAGGCCGTGTCACAGCCGTGGAGGTGGGCAAGAATGTGGTACGGTGGAAGGTGAAGTTTGACTATGTACCCACAGATACAACTCCAAGAGACCGCTGGTAATACTTTCTTCTGGGTGACCAGGATGACAGAAGTTGGCTAGGACAAGGGGAGGAGAGTTCTCTGCCCTGCTCTCATCAGTCTATTTGAAGAGGCCAGGACAGACATGACACAAATTGTATCCTCCATAGGGTGGAGAAAGGCAGTGAAGATGTGCGGCTGATGAAGCCACCTTCTCCAGAGTATCATACCCCTGACACACAGCAAGAGGGTCGGGAGGAAGAAGAAGCTGTGGTGGCTCAGCAGGCTGTAGCCATGGCAGAGCCCTCTACCTCTGACTGCATCCGCATTGAGCCTGACACCACTGCTCCAAGTACCAACCATGAAACCATTGATCTCCTGGTCCAGATTCTCCGGTTTGTTCCTTTTGTCTTCCTGTTCCAGGATGACATCTGCTCTCCACACTATCAGCTCTCCATGATCTTGTGCCATTCTGAGTTCCCATCCCTGTCTTTCTTCCTTAGGAATTGCTTACGGTATTTCCTGCCTCCTAGTTTCCCCATCTCCAAGAAGGAGCTGAGTGTTATGAATTCAGACGAGCTAATATCTTTCCCTCTGGTGAGTCTGCCTGACCTTTAATTTTACCCCTGCCATACTGTAGGCTTGTTGTGATTACTCTTGTGATTGTTAGCACTAAGCTGTGTGCCCTACTTCAGCCAATTCCCCTTTCTTTATGTTGAGGAGAAAAAGTAGTTTAACTAGATAGGACGCAGATAGCCAGCTCTACCCTATCATAGGTGCTAGTGGCTTAGCCTCCATTATGGACAGTATGCCTGGTTTGACATTTTAAGACAAGTACATTCCATTTCCTCTCTGCCCTAGAAGAGGGAGTAAATCTGTCCCAGGTAGCAGCAAAGAGTTTAGACTGAAAACTTGAGACTGGGAGAGATGTAGAGAGCAGCTTGTGGCATGTAGAGATGAGCATTGGCAAATGTGATGTGTTGCCTTTTCCAGCAAGTCCTCTGCTGGATCTCAACAGGATAGTCCTGTCTTCTGTGGCTTAAGATGGTGAACTCTAGGTTGTTATCAGGTAGCGGGACATGAGGCCAAGAGCTGAGTGCTGTGGAAATGGCACCTGGAGAAAGGCGAGAGAGTGACCCAGGCTAGAGGAAACAAGGGTTTTGGCAAGTGGCTGTCTGTGTAAGTGAAGAGGGTTCTAAGCATGGGACTTAGGTGAACAAAGGCACAGGGAGTCAGGGCAGCAGGTTGTAAGGTGAGCATTCAGGGTAGGAGGCGCCTAAGAGTAGGAAACAGTGCATCTTGAGTGACCGACCAGTCTTAAGTATGCTGGCTTAACCTCTGTAGGAGTGCCAGCAAAGGTTTGAGCTGAGGAAATTGTCAAGTCTGACACATGTCTAGGGCAGGGGCTAAAAAGCCTTTTCTGTAGATGGCCAGTTAGCAAATAACTACAGGTTTGCAAGCCAAACAGTCTCTGTTGCAACTACTCATCTCTGCCACTATACCATGAAAGCAGCCACAGGTACTCCATCACAGAATGGATGTGACTGTACAGGTTCTAGTGAAGCTTCATTTAGAAAAACAGGCAGTATTGGGGCTATAGTCTGCTGTTCCTACCTTTAAGAGGGATATCTTTGATAGCAGTATGTTTGGGTAGGATAGGTGGTAAACTCAGGGGCATTTGTAAAGGTCACAGGTAAGAGGACAGGAGCTAGGGTGGTGGGAGTGGGCCACTGGGTGAAAGAACTGTGTCAGCGGTTAATGACAGACATTTCATGGACTGGCAAGTCACAGGGAACATGCAGAGTTTACACCTGCTGTGTGTGTCTCAGACCTGTTGAGATTTGGAGGTTGATATAACTGGGAGAGAAAATGGAGAAGTGTAAGGAAGGTGATGAGCTGAGGTTTGTGGTATGCCAGAAGTGCCAGCACCATGTTTCTGGTAATGTGCAGTGGGGAGGCAGAGATAAAGGAGTAGCCCTGGAGGGCCGAGGAGGTCAGAGCTGAAGAGGGGGTCTGGGAGTCATTCCCATTAAGTGAGGTATTTGTTAGGAATAACTCAGTTTTCCAGGGAAGAAGATAGAATGGAGACTACAGAATTTGTATGTCCAAGATGTGGGGCCCTCATGTGAGGGTTGTATGGTTGATAATTTGCCAGAGATAAAAAAAGATGGGGGTGTGTCTCTTTATTACTTTAAAAAAAATGAAATAAGCTAGTTGAAGAAACTAAGACCCAGAGAAGTAAAGTCTGTTGGTCAGAGATGGAAAACAGACCTGAAACCCACACACTTCTTAGGATGGATCTTGCTCTCCCCATAATATCACCTTGCTCTCCTTGTGAAGGGAAGGGGCATGGCATTCAGTGAGGAGTTAGAAGGTGGCAGAATGCATGATGGCATCTTCATAGAAGGCTCCACACTTAAGCTTTTGCCCTTGTTTAGGCTGTGGGTGCTTTGCAAATCTCAGGAGAACAGACAGACAGTGAGGTCTGGCTGGCATCTTCTTGTCAGATACAGGGGCCAAGCAACTCTCCCTGGTTCCAAAGTAGAGAGAATTTAACTCAACATTTGTTGCTTTTGGCTTAAAGTTGTTGCCAGACTCAGCAACCAACAGTGGGACCTCTGCAGTGAGCACGACTGTTCAGCCCAAAGCAAAGTCAGTCTCAATGTCTGAATCTAAAAATAGTATCTAGCTTATTTTTGTAAAAGGAGATATAATACAACTTCGACCTGCTGGTTATGATGTCTAAAATCACTCAAACTTTTCTTTGTTTAGCGTCAGGGACTCAACAGAATCTAAGTTCATTATGTGCCTATCAGTTCAGTTTGTAAACACTGGTCCTTTTTCCCCATCATAACAGATCAAGAGTTCCCTGAAGTCCTCTAACATTTGCAAGGTTCTCTTTGGGCCTTGCAAATATTAGATTCAAACATCATTTTAAAAAAAGCAAAGTAATAGCTGTTATGGATGTCTAGTTGCCTAGAAATAAAAAGTTAAAAAAACTAGTATGAACCCTGGTTGTCCTCATAACATTGTATACTGAATTTTATCTTTTTTTTTTTTTTGGTACTGGGGATCAAACTCAGGACCTTGTGCTTGCAAGGCAGACAGAGGAACCACTAAGCTAAATCCCCGGCCCTGTATTCTGAATTTCAATGGTTTGAAGCTGGCTTGAATTTTATTTTAGAATCTCAGGATGATTTGCATGTGTGTGTGCACGTGTGTGTGTGCTGAATGTGACATTTCTTTTGCCATCCTGGTTTGAGAGAGATAATTGTCTAGATTGTAAGGTGAATAATGAAGTTAAACACTTGCAGGTAATAGTTTTTAAAGAAAAACAGCAGCCGGAAGCTTCTCAGTGCCGACAGCTTATGCATCTTTATAAAAGTAAATAAATGCTAGAGTTGGTTAGACTGCAGTGGCCAGCCAGGACCTGTAGTTCTGAGTTTCTTTTCATCAGAATTAGCTCCTCATTCTTAGTGATTCCTGATTAAATCATGTTATAAATTTGACCTTAGAAAATGCACCTAAAGAGATTCTGTGCAAAAAAAATTTTTTCCATACACTGACATTCCATTATAACATTTCATTTGAAATATTTTGCTGCCTTTTCAAAGTTTGAAAAGCCATCTGTCTAGGGAAGCTGCTAATTAACAATAGTACCTCACACCTTGGAGGTTTCAGGGCCTCAGGGATGATAGTGAAATCCCCTGATGCTGGAAAAATACCTACTTACAGAAATCTAGAGGTATTGGATCTGGTGGGTGCTTGATAATATTTGTGGAAGAGAAATGTTTTGGTCCTGACATAGCTGGAAATTACTTAAAAGTGGATTGCCAAAAAAGGCCAATAGTGAAGTTAAGAAAGTGTGATTGGACTGGTAGACTTATCCTGCATCCTTTTTTTTACCATCTGGAGTCGTAGGAGATAGCCCTCTCATTTATTTCATGGCTTGCTGTCTGCCAAAGCACTTTCCTGAGTGCTTTAACTAGATGACCATGACCTCATCCTCATAGCAGCTCCATGAGACAGGAATTAAGTTCTCTCTACTTTGGATCCAAGGAGACTGCTTGCCCCTTGTATCTGAGACATTTCTTCAAACCAAACATCCTTGGCAGACCTGTGCCGGTTTAGAAGGGCCCTGGTGACCCCTGTGAATTCATGTTTCCCTCTCTGGCTCCTTCCACAGAAAGAGTACTTTAAGCAATATGAAGTGGGGCTCCAGAACCTGTGCCATTCATACCAGAGCCGTGCTGACTCACGGGCCAAGGCATCTGAGGAAAGCCTGCGCACCTCTGAGAGGAAGCTCCGTGAGACAGAGGAGAAGCTGCAGAAGCTGAGGACCAACATCGTAGCACTCCTGCAAAAGGTGCAGGAGGTGAGCCAGGCAGCCCTCTTACTGCAGCTGAACCACCTGGTCTTTCAGGGAGGGGGGCCCAGGCACCTCCTGCTCTTTGCTCATAGGACTCTATCCACTCACTGGAATCTGTGGTTCCAATCCTGCCTGCCCAGCGTCCTGACCAGGACGGCTTGAGGTGTGGTATGACTGCCTGGGCCTCATCCCAGCCAGACCCACCTTGTATAGCCTGGTTTGTGAACCCTCCAAGCTATAAAACAAAGTTCTTGCTTTTCCACATGACACCCAGAATGGGGAGTTCCCTTTAGATAAGTGTTAATCAAGGCAGCAAACAACTGAGGGCCTGCTCTGTCCTTTCCTCAGGGTCTAGGGAGAACAAAGACAGGCCAGATAAGGTTCCAGTTCTTGCAGCCCCACATTCTGGTGGAGGAGACAGAGCTACTGATGGTACGCTGTCCTATGCAATAACTAGTAAGAGAGAACGCTGGGGAAGGCCACTTGTCTAGGGTGTCCAGGGTTGGCCACTAAGGAAGTGGTGTTTGAGCTAAGAATGGATGCTGACCATGCAAAGAGTGGGACATGAGCACTCCAGGCAGAGGAAAGATGAGCAGGACTTGGTCTTAGTGGGGAGCTGTGTGTGGTATGAGAGGCAGGGTTGTACAAGGTGGGATTTGATCCTGAGAACAGTGGGAAGTCACTGGAGGGGTGTGGCATGGTCCAGTTTTCAGTATGACACTTTGGTTGATTGGAAGGGTAAAGGTTAGATTTAGGGAACCTGGTGAGATTCTCACAGCTAGGTAAGACACAGTGATGGCCTGGACACTGGGTGGTGACAGTGAGAAGTGGGAGAAGTAGGTATATTAATATCTGAGGGAAAGATAGCTAAGGCAAGTGGGAACTTGTAGAGGCAGGATGGGAGCAAGATAATCTGGATGTCATCTGAGCATATAGATAGGGAGGGGTTAGGGATCAAGACAGGACAGGTACCTGACAGCCAAGGTACAGGGGATGAGGAAGAGATGCTGGGCTCAGCCCAGGAGCTGGGAGAAGGGTGGAAAGGCTAGTTCCCACACCACTTTCTGGCCCTGGCTGATCCTGCCCTACTCTATTCCAGGACATAGACATCAACACAGATGATGAGCTGGATGCCTACATTGAAGACCTCATCACCAAGGGGGACTGAGGGGCCAGGAGCCAGAGATCAGCTCCCCTGCCCACCTGCCCCTCAACACAGCAGCTTCAGGGAGGGAGATTTCATTTATGGGTTGATGGACTTAACCTTTGATTTGATTCATGTGAGACATTTGTGCTTTTGGAAGGACAGATACTTTGATTCTTTGAATCTTCCTCCCTAAGTTTATAAATATTTATTTTTTAAAAGAAACAGGCTGTGCTTGCTGTGAGACCATACTTTTTTTATAACTCTTGAGTAAAGGACAGAACCTTTATACTTTGACCATACTAGGTTGCCACTTCAGCTTCTGGCTCCTCAAAATAGTGGTGAGACCAGTACCATCCTGAGAGGTTCTGGGGGACATCTGTGGTTTCTTTCCTCTCTCACATCAGGGCTGTGAAGGTCTGCAGTTAGCCCCAAGTAGCTGTCAGAGTCACCCTAGCTATGGCATCATTCAGACAGTTTGGGGAAGAAAGATCTTGCTATTCAGCCTTCCCATCCTCACTCATGTTTTCTCTGAAGGACTGATTTCCTCCTTCAGCTTGAGTGTGAGGTTTCCTGCCTCAGCTTGAGTCCAGGTTGAGGAGTAGATAGCTCCACCTGGTCAGATCCCTGACTTGGTTAGCACTTTTGAGTGTTTTAATTCCAAAGGATTCCTTAGGGAAGGAGCAGGTGTATGAAAGTCCTGGTGCTAAGCTGGCAGAATTCTCCATCTGTGGCTTCCTCAGATGGTACAGGTCTCTGGAGATCCTGCTACTGTTTTTCTACTTCCCTTTGTCTAGCTCCACCAAGGTGTGGCATAGCCACTGCTCCCCGGCAGTCAGAAGGACTGTTAGGGACTCCAGAGGTAGTTCTGTAGGAAGTTCATCTCACCTTCCCTCCCTTTCCAGACACAGCCTTAGAAGCTGTGTCCTTCAATAACTACTCAGGGTCAAAGACAAAGACAAGAGCTACTGTGTTTTAACAGCCATTGGAGAAATTCTGGTTCCATTTCCTGCAGCTCTTTTCCCATTACTATTTGAAGCCTCTGAAAGCATAAGAACTGTGGCCTGGTACCACTGATTCAAACTTTTCTTGGGTGTGTTTTCACTATTAACCTAACATGGGTCAGCAGTGCCTACCAGCTGCCCTGTGAAGGCTACAGAAGACCAAGAAGCAGGGGTGAGGGACTCGGGTCACACTGGAATTCAGTCCTTCTCCACTTGTACATGTGGCTAGAAGCACCTATGACTTACCAGTCAGATTCTAAGCTTCCCCAAACCATATCTACAAGAGAGGATTGTTTGGAGGAGTAACACTAAGAAGTAGTCTTTCTTCTCTGAAACATTCTCTAAGAGACTTGAAATTCTCTGAGTGGGTGATCCTCATCCTGCTCTTTGGTTACCCCAGTCAATGTGTCATCCATTTTTGTCCTCAAACCTGTTTTAATCTAAAAGGAAGATCTGCATTTTTACTTGAGTAATGCTCAAGATTTTTACTTACCTATGTGATCAAAATGCAATACAGTAAGTCCCCAACTAACGAACATTCAAGCTGCGAACTTTTACAGATACTAATGGACCTTGCATTATGTACATTTGTAGATGTGAACAAATCGAGGCAGTATCTCATGTGTCTCCCAGACATTGTCACAGTTGTGTTGCTGTGAGCCTACTTTACAGTGCAATAGTGTACAGTAGTACAGTGCTTAGTCAGAGCCCAGGATGCCCGGAAGCAAGAGGAAAAGCAGTGGTGATGTGGAGGGGACTGCTAGGAAGCACAGAGCAGTAACCATGGAAGCAAAAATGAGAGATTGGATTGAGGCAAAAAAATGGTAGATGTCACTTGTTCTTTTTGTGTTTTTTTAAAGCTTTACATTGTATATTTGTGTCAAAGATATATAAGACTCCTTTTGTGGAACTTGCGAACGAATCTGACTTAATGAACTTTCTCCTGGAATGGAGTTGGTTTGTTAAGTTGGGGACTTACTGTACTATAAACTTCTACTGGTGAGACTTCTGAACTCAGTCTGTTTTCAGTGAAATCCAGCACCCTCCAGCTCTTTATTCTTTTTATCTTGTGGCTTTAAACAGTCTTCAAAGTCTTCATCTCTACCATGTTCATTGTTTAAGCTTCAGACTCCTTAACACCCACAGAAATGGAAAGACTAGATTTCTTAGATGTTTCAGCTTCAACTTCTGGGTGTGCTTAGTGCAACCTCAGCTCTACTGAACAGTCTTTTCCAGGCAAAGATCTTGCTGTTCTGGATGGGATATAAAATGCAAAGGTCTCCTCCTTTCCAGAAATATCACAGGACAGTTGACTGGCATGGAGCTGTGTGGCAACATGGGAGGAAGAAGAAAATCTGGCTCATCTGTAGCAGGAAGGTCCTTAGCACAAGGCTGCAAGAAAGTGAGGGCAGCAACCTTCTTATGGAGAGAGTTGAGAACTTTGCTTGGTTGGCTGGTTTGGTTTTTTAAGTGATGTGCACATGGTTTAAAGTCCTGAGCCAGGCATAGTGGCACATGCCTCTAGTCCCAGCATTTGTGAGGCTGAGGGAGGAGGACTGCCATGAGTTCAAGGCCAGCCTGGGCTACATAGCAAGACCCTGTTGCAAAAAGAAAAAAAGGGCCGGGGATTTAGCTCTGGTTTCGCCACCTGCTGTGCAAGCACAAGGACCGAGTTCGATCCCTGGTACCAAAAAAAAAAAAAATTCCAAACAGTACAAAAGGCTGGAGCATGAAAAGCAAGGCTTCTTTCCACCCAGTTCCCAAATTCTTACTGAGTGTATCCATCCTGAGTTCATGTGTACACACACACACACACACACACACACACACACACACACATATGTTCTGCTGTTTTCCACTGAGTGGACTTTAGAACCTGTTTCAGAATAGCCCACAAGGGTCTACTTTATTCTGAATAACCACGGATGTATTGTCATTTAACATTCCCTACTTGTGAGCATTTGGGCTGTTTTCTAAAATTTAGAAAAAGTGCTGAGTGTACGTGCTCATTAATTTAGATCTGTATTTACTAAGGGTAAATTCCAGAAAGGAAAATGGCTGTCAGTGCATTAACTTTTAAGCTACACTCCCACACTGCCTTTAAGGAAAAACTTCCAATGTCAGTTCCAACAGTGCCCCACCCACAACTTGCCAGTATGTATGTAACTCTTTACTAATGTGTAAATTGATGGATTGAGTTCATTTGAATTAGTTTAATCAATGAGATTTAATGTCTTCATTGGCCAGTTATGTTTCTCTTCTGATACAGGACAATATGTAGCTCTGAATCGGGTTAGGGACCTTTTTGTAAATAAGATTTAAAAAATAAGGTGCAAAGTCCTCAGGAAAATGTCTGCCTTACAGGACTCCAGAGCCCCTAAATGTCCCAGGGATTTTGGATTAAAAAGCTCACTTTTGTCTATCACTAGATCAGGACAAGGGTATGACATTTTTGTTTACTAAAAGAAATTAAAGATTAATATGGGCTTAGAAACCTTTTCTGCTTCCTTAATCTGTCTTAGCAACACTATTTTTTGCCTTGTTAGGTTTACTCTCCTCTCCCCTTTACGTGAATTTCAAACCCAGGGTTGAAGTAGCATTGTCCAAGAGACCACAGCTCTAAGGACCAATGTCAAACCTGATAGCTTCAAACTTTTTCCATTTACACAGAACTTGGCTTGATCTGAGTGGTCTGCTTCCACTGGCTGCTTGTTCCTGTTGGAAGGCCATTCTGCAGCTGAGCTGGGTTGTGAGGAACCTACTGACAGGTCTCCAAGGTTCCTGAAATGTTCTGAGAATCCCACTGCAGGCTTCTGGCCTTTGTTGGCGATGGAACCTCTGAGGCTTCCTATGAGTAGCCATATAGATTTTGGTTCTTGGGACAGTTGCACAGCCAAATTGGCCACAGAAGGTAGAACTCCAAAAGAATGTGCTTTCGGACTGTTAGTTCGGGGTCTGCTGGAGGAACCCTCTCCACAGTGAGCAGGACAGACTTCACAGGGGAAGGACCTGGCAAAGAACATCCCAAGATGTTGCCAGGCCTGCTTTTCAGTCTAGCTGTTAACATTTAGTAACTTGCCATCCATGAAACAGGCCCAACCAGGACCAATGGTGGGTCCAGCAGAAATTTCCTTCTGTTTGCAGTGCTTCAGACAAGTCACTCCATTCTGGCTCCCAGTCCCTCTAAAATGAAATGGTTGCATGATGGTAGACATTTTCCAGTTTAGCTCCAGGGCCAGGTCTCCACCTGAAATTTATCCAGCCTTTATAGAAAGGTGATAACTGGAGCTGCTCTGGTGGAAGTTGTGATGGGGCCCAGTACCTCTTGCTACCTTGACCTCCAATCCTTACTTGAAAGATTCCCTATTCTCCACTTGGAGGCCGACAGGTGCTTACTCAATGACACATGTAGCAGCGATATGTTTAGTCAGTTCCAGTTTCCAAGGATGAGGGCTGGACTTCCAAGCAGCCTCCATCTGGCCTGTGATGCAGATATCTATGGTATTTCTTGGGGCTCTGGCATTCCCAGTAGCTGCCAGCCAAGGTCTGGACAGTGGGGAAGTTCATACCACTTGGGCAAACTTGGACCAGTGAGAGGATAAGGATCCAGCAGACACATCCTGTGCCTTCTAGATTGCTGAGATACTTCCAAGAGTCCCCAATGTTGCAGATTTCTCCCCAAACTGGCCAACTCTCATCTGCTACTGTGACTCACCGTCCTTCCATCCTGCATTAAAAGTTCTGGGCTCTTGATGCCCTCCTGAAAGAATACCTGGCGAGTCAAACCGATCTATCACTAGGTTGGTATCACTAGGTTTGGGTGCCACGGTGGTCAGAGGAGACCCCCTAGATTGTCGGAAAGAAGTTTTTGAGTTCTTCATGGTTAATCATAAGCTACTGCAGTACAAAACATGCCCAAGAGCTGAATGAACATTCTTACCTGGCCCAGACGACAAGGCTAGCACGACAGCACTCTCCCGGAAGCTTAGCGAATGGCTGATGCTCAGTTCCACCCCTGCACCGGCCGCCTCCCAGCTGGCCAACGGCGGTTTTGCAGATAACTCCTGCTGTAGCTCAGACCTTTAAGCGGGAGGACCAACTCCTCATGGGAAATTGTTGCTAAGCCACCCGGAGAGGCCTTGCGCACGCGCCTTGGAAACTTGGTGCTCCTGCGCACGTGCGGACACCGTGGCTCCTGGCTCTCAACGCACCAGGCAGTTATCAGGCGTCAGCAAGGGCAGCCCAAGCAGAACAAATGAGAGGGGAAAAAAAATGTCTCCTCGAGGGCTGCATATTCAAATCCAGGGTGCAGATGAAACCTTTTTCTCAATTGTTTTCCAACTTTTTGAGAGATTACTATAGAAACCTTTTTTTTTTTTTTTTTGGTACATTTTCTGACTGAGCGTCCTTATTTCTGCAAGGTGGAGGACCTGAAAAGAGGCTGCTTGTTTTTTCTTTTGCCTTAAAGGGCCAGCCTGTTGGCCTCTCCCCCGGCCTGACCTGAGAGTTCTTGGAGTTTCACGACGTTTATTTTCTACAGGTTTGCGATGTTTGTTGAAAGGTAAGCATTTTTAGGTTTTTGTGTTTTCTGTCACGCTAAGGAAAATCCATCCCCTTTTCTATACCAATACTTCTGCTGCAGTGTTTTTAAATTTTTCTGTCAACCTTCAGTCCCAGTGGAATATGCTTTAGTCTAAACCACAAGAAAGGAATCAAACTTTGTAGTCTCCCCGCCCCCCCCCAGGTGGAAATTCACTTACCTCATTTATTATATGAACCACTTGGGCTATTATTTATATTTCCTGGTGTTTGATTTGAATCGTTGGTTGGAGACACCCCTTAGGGCAGTGGAGACATCCTATCATTACTTGCACAAGCTAGTGTGATGCGAAGGTTGAGGCTGTAGCTGAAACTAATCTTGGCAATTAGCAGCTAGAGGAATCACTTTTTAAAAAACCTTTCAGGCTGTTCTTAGTATTCACTCATGAAAGTGTAAATTGCTTGATGCAGTTTTCTTCTATACCAGTCTTTTTAAAAAAAGTTTCATTGGAATTTAAATTATAATTGCATTACATTTAAATGTTTTGAGAGTGTTGATATTTTTATATTAAATCTCCCCAGAGGATATGAAATTGTTTTCCATTTAAGACTTCTTTTAGATCCTCTAGTAAGATTTTATAATTTCTTCACATGGGTTTTATAACTTTCTGGGCCAATAAGATATCTTTTCATTCAGCTTTTTATAACTTTCTGGTTATAAAATTTATTCCTGTTTTTGTGGGCTTTGTCGCTATTGTGGTCGGATACTTTTTTCTAGTGCTCACTGATTATTATTATGGAGAAAAGCTGTTACAGACTCTGGTACTTCTAAAAATAAACCTCCTGTTTTTTATAGAGACAATTTACAAATTTGCCAGTATATCAATTTAATTGCCATTTAGTTTTACTTAGAAACTCTGAAATAATGTTGAATCATCCTGGGTCTTGTTTCTGATAAAGATGAGATCTACATGTGAGGGTTGAACAGGATGCTGGCTGTTGGTTTTGGTAAATGGCCTTTGGAAGTGTCAGTTTTCTTGCCTCTACTTGGGACCTCTGGAACTCACGTGTAGCTGCTGTCCTACCTGAATCCGGTACTAGGGGACAGCACTACACAAAATGAAATGTGGGTTGTGTTCCCTGGAGACTGGCTGAATTTTTGTGAAGTGCCTTTTCACCATCTATTTAAAAAGCAATATGGAATTGAACATTTTTTCACGTATTTACCAGCCATTTGTACTTATTTTGAGAAGTGTATGTTCAGTTCATTTGCTCTTTTATTTACTGGGAGTTTTTAATGGTTTCTTTAGTTCTTTGTGTATTCTGAAAATTAATCCTCAGTCAGAAGAGTAGCTGGCAAAGATTTTTGCCCATTCTCTAGGCTCTCTCATGGCTGCGTTGCTTCCTTAGTTATGAGAAGGTTTTTATGGGCATGCCTGAATCTGCCAAGATGGAACCCATTAATCTATATAACTAATATGCACTGATAACAAAAGACTATGGCACAATAAATCTAGTCTGTCTCTAAAAAAATCAATTTTAAAAACCTAAGAATTTTCTTCTATAAGCTGTTGTTTTATTTTTATTAGACACTGAGTAGGTATACAAGTTTACTGTATAGAGTACTTATGAATTAGAAAGATACGTGTTGCCATCCGGCTGGTGGGTTCTTCTCTCAGCTCAGATAGAATTACGAGGCAGAGTCAAGAGAGGACTGAGCAAAAGTATTTATTGTAGAGCAAAATCAGAAAGCTGCATTTATTGTAAAACAAAATCAAACAGCTCCCAGACAAATGAACCTAGGAGGGGGCCCAATAAGGGTTGTCCAAGGAACTCTTGTTTAGGGATTTTTATACCTCTAAATGACTACATCTCAGCCAAGCTGAGATCAATCTATTGGGTTACAATCAGGAAAGTTTAATGTAGAAGTGGGCCTATAGGAATTTGGGGTAGGTAGCAGGTATACTTTTGCAAGCACCATTAATTGTAACTTGAAATATAATTAAGTTATTTGTGAGAGAGGTATGAATATCTTATTTTTGGACATAAAAATCTTGCCAATCCAATGAGGCCTTTGTTTACTGAGTCTCAAGGTGCCTGGCCTTGGTTTTCGATGTGTCCTTCACAGAATCTTTCTGACTCCCTCTTTGGCTTGGTCTCCTGATGGCCTATATCTTCCTTGTCAGGACCCTGCTCCACGGTCTTCACACATATACAAATTGCCAGGCTCCTACACTTCATTGTTTTGGTCAGTTTATGGCCTTCAACTATCTTCTGGAAGTTGTAGTCTTTTCATGAAGTACAAACTGTTAGTTATGATTTTCTTGTCTCCTTTTTACCTTTTATTTTTTTCTATCCCACCTCCACAAGGAACACCTATTGCTTGGTTTATTATTGTAACTTTAAAATCCCTATTGGTCTCTCCTGAATCCCTTTCCTCCCTGCTCAAAAGCAACCCGTACCCCGAATAATGTTCATCTTTTCTTAATAATTACTTTGCTCTGCCTGCTTTGAACTTAGACACATTGTATTATTTTGCAATTTGCTTTATATTTCCACCCTTATGTCCCCAGAATTCATCATGTTCGTGAGGGTATAATTCATTCATTTTTCATCACAGTATGGAAGAAAAATGAATTACACTAACAGTTGAACATGCTACTGTTTTTTTTAATCCATGCTTCTGTAACTGGCATTTGGGTTGAGTATTGGGGTTTTTTGGGGGTTTTTTGGTACCAGGGATTGAACTTGGGACCTTGTGCTTGGAGTATTGGTTTTTGTGTTTGTTTTTCTTTTTTATTGATATCAACTGCAAATATTTTTGTTTATGTTTCCTGTTGCCAGTGTAATCATTGAAGTAGAAATGCAGAGTCATAGGTCATCATTGTGATGCTAAATTTTTTCGGAAGTGGTTGTATTGAATTTCACAATCACTGGCACTATAAATGTATGTATATTTCATTTCTCCACTTCTTCCCCAAGAGTATTACTAGATTTGAAACTTTTTACCAGTCTGTTGGATATGGAGTAGCATCTCATTGTGGCTTAATTTGCATTTTCCTGATTTCTATTGTAATTAAGCACCTTATGTTTATTGAACATTTGGTTGTTGTTGTTGTTTTGGTGAAGTGTTCAAGACTTTTGCCTCATTTTTCTATTTTTCTGGGGTTTTTTTCTTGACTGATATTTTTGTATATTGTGGATACAAGTCCTTTATAAGTTATCTGTATTGCAGATTTCTTCTCCCACTCTTTGGCATGTCTTTTGTTAATCCCATTTTACCAAGTCTTTTAATGAACAGAAATTCTTGATTTTACTGTAGATTAATTTATCAAGTTTTTTCCTACATAGTTTTCATGTTTGTTTTTTTTTTTGGTACTGGGATTGAACTCAGGTCCCTGTGCTTGCGCAGCAAGCAGCGAAACCACTGAGCTAAATCCCCAGCCCTAGTTTTCAGTTCATAAGAAATTTTCCCTACCCTGAGGTCATGAAAATATTGTTATTTTCTAAAGTCTTTGTACTTTTATCTTACATATACAGATCTTTAATTCACCTGGAATTGACTTTTGTGTATGGTGTGAGATAGGGCCTCCCTCCTTTCCGCATTCCTCCTTCTCCCTCCATCTTACTTATTTCTCTCCCTCCAACCCTCCCTCTCTTCATCTTCTCTCCCCCTCCTCTCCCTCTTCTTGGTTGCTCCCATGTTCCTTATTTTGAAAAATCTTCTTGAATGGTCTACAGTGCTACCTCTTTTATATATCAGATGTTCACATATGTATGTATATGTTTCTGGACTTAGTTTTGTCTATTTTTTTTATGCCAATACTGACTTAAATATTTATAGTTTTATATTTAATAGAGCCAGTTTTCCCATTTTTTCTGAACTTCATAATCTTTTGTATTTTCATATAAATTTTAGAACCATTAAGCTCCATGAGAAAACCTGTAAAGATTTCATTGGAATTATTTGCCATCAGTTTAAGAAATAATATCTGTATAAATGTTCCAAACTATGTAGATGGTATCATTCTTTATTAATTAATACCTTTCTTTAGTATCTGTCAAAAATATTATTTTTCTTTTAGGTATCTTGTGTCTTGATGTATCTTCTTATCCTATCTATAGGTTCCTTTGGATTTTCTGTGTGATATCAACTGTGAGTAGTGATAATTCTGCCAATTCTTATAGTTCATATAAACATTTTTCTTGCCTAATCTCATTGGCTCTACCAGTACAATATTGTATACACAGGGTGAAAGTGGGCATCATTTTTTGTTTTGTTCACAAGCAAAGAGAATGTATATGTGTAGATATTACATTGTGAAAGTTTCCTTTCATACCTATTGCTAATTTTTTTAAATAGCATGGATGTATGCTCAATTTTGACTGTTTCCTTTGAGATGACCATATAGTGTTTGCTTTTAGTTTGTTAATTACATTGGCTAGTTTTTCTCAGGGTAAACTAATCTTGCATTTCTGCAATATAATGATCAGTTTTATTAATAATATTGTTGGATTTATTCATATTTTGTCTTGAATTATGACATTATGATTGAGCCTAGTTTGTAATTTTCTTTTCTCATACTGTCTTGGTCAGCTTTTGGTGATCAAGTTTATTAGCCTCAAAAATGAGTTTGGGAATATTACTTCTTTTCTTCTACCTTTTGAATAATTTCTGTAAGATTGGAGTTATTTCTTCATCATCTGTGTCTGGAGTTTTGTGTGTATGTATGTGGAATTTGTAACTAAGTTTTAAAAAACATGGTGGCAATACTATTAAGATTTTTCTATATTTTAGTCATTTTAGGTTATATTTTTCTAAGAATTTATCCATTTTATCCGTTTTCAAATTTATTGTCAAAGTTGTTCATAATGTGTCTAGCATGTTTTTATGTCCCCCTTTTATTCCAAACATTTTTTTTTTTTTTGCTCATTCAACTGTTCCCTTCCTTTCTCTTCCTCATCAGTAATGCCAAAAATGTCAATTTTTAGTTTCTCAAAGAAACATCCTCAGCTTTCTTTGTCCTCTTTATAGTAGTCCTCCCTTAAATATATAGTTTTGCTTTCCATGGTTCCAGTTACTCACTGTCATTCATGGTCTGAAAATATTAAATGGAAAATTCCATAAATAAATAATTGATAATATGGTTTTAGAAAAATTTTATTACAGTATATTGTCATAATTGTCCAATTTTAATATTAATCATTATTAATCTCTTACTGTGTCCAATTTATAAATTAAACTTCATGATAGGTATGTATGTTTGGGAAACAACAGACTATATATAGGCTTTAGTACCATCTGTGGCACCCCTTATGGGTCTTGGAACATATCCCCTTTGGTAAGAGGAACTACTGTATTATGTTTTCTATTTTATTAATATCTGAATTTATCTTTATTTCATTTATCCTTATGTTCATTTTCTTATTCAAATTGGGTATTTAGTTGATTATTTTTAGCCTGGTTTATAAGTTTTTTAATGCTCTTTATTTCTCTCTAAATACTTCTTTACTTGTATCCAGTAGGTTTTGATATATAGTATTTTAACAGTATTTTATGGTTTTTATTATTTTATTCATTGGCATATGTATTATTTAAAAGTACATTTATTAATGTTCTAATATTGTTTTTCTCCTTGTTACTGATTTTGAACTGACTTTGTTGCTGTGTAAGAATATGTTATGTAACAGTTCTTTGAAACTTGCTGAGATTTTATGAATGGCCTCAAATATGAGATTAATGTTCAGATGTTTCACTTGCATTTCAAAAATATATGTTCTGCAATTACCTATAATGCCCTATATATCTCTATTACATAAATTTATTAATTGTGTTGCTTGAAACCTTACTGATATTTTTTGTTTGAACTCATTACTAGAAGAGATATATTAAAATTTTTCATTATGATTATGGACTTATAATTGTGTCCATTTTACTTTTTTAGTATATGTGCTGCTGAAGCGAGCACCATTTTACCTTGTATATTTTGGGATGTTATTAGATGCATAAGAGTATTAGAACTTTATAAATTTTACTTTTTATTATTATATAGTGACTTTTAAAAATTTCTAACAGTTGACATCCAGGATTATTTTTTGCCTTAAAAGTCCATTTTGTTTGTATATTTATGTTATAGGTGCATTTTTGTTAATAGCATATAGCTTTTATTCCAGATTCTTATTTTGTTTTAACCTAAAGCATTTGTTACTGAAATTTTATGTAATTTATTTTTTTCCCCGGGGATTGAGCTCAGGACTTTGCGCTTGGGAGGCAGGTACAATGCCACTGAGCTAAATCTTCGGCCCTATGTAATTACTGATGTATTGATTATTGCTTTATCTATTATTGCCTTATTATTAGTTTTTATCCCACTGTATCTTCATTCCCTCTGACTTCCTTTCCTGTCTTCTTTGAGATTGAGATTTTTCTACCCTTAATTCAATGTTTCCTTTACTCTTCTGGAAATTTAGTATTCTGGTTCCTTTAATGATTACAAGTTTTACATAATATTTAATTCATTAAAGTCTAACTCCACAGGATACTACTGATACTGTTTTGAAAAACTTTGCTAATCCTTGTTTTGCTTTTGCTCCTAGAAAATATTTCAACTGGAAATACTAAAATTGTCTCCTCTGCTTTGGAGATACCCATTTCTGTGTCTTCTGACTTCCTTCAGAGGTCAATTCTCAGTTTAACTGATGCTCTTTGACAATAAACTTTGTCTTCCCTCTCCAGTCCAACTGCTTTTGAGATTTTGTCTTAGTGATCTTGTAATTTCACTATATTGTATTTAGCTATGTATGTGTTTTTATTTACCCTACTTGGAGTATTTTTCATGAGTTTTTGGAAAGTTTTAGCCAAATATTGCTTCTGGTCTATTTATTTTAAAAAAATTTTTTCTCCTGAAAACAGATTAGACACAAGTGGGACCCTCTAACTTTATTCTTCATGTCTCCTAACTTCCTTTTTATATTTTTCTCTTCTTTGTGTCTTTGTGTTACATTCTGGATTTCTTCAGA